TTGAAGTATCCATCGGGACTCAATGTAATGGGATCAGAGCTGCGTACGCACAGTGTTCGTTCAGAAGAGCTATTGAGAGACATTAACCAAGTACGACATCAGATCGCTCTTCGGTTGATCTCCTCGATAGCACCGTTGAAGTGATATTGAGCGGTAAGTTTGTTTGATCTGATGTGAGACCTCGCAGCTTTATAACACAACGACATGATGCTATCTATTCGAGTCGATACCGACCATTCGTCCGGCTTCAAAGCTTTCCCGGTGTAGCCCACAGTGAGGCAGAAGCCCTCGGCCGAGCACGTAGCGCTGACATCGTTGTCAACCCCAGGATCGTATCGCTTGGCAAATGCCAAACTTTGGCACTCCAAGCACCAGAAGAGCGCGACCCCAAGGCACAATTTGGTATTCATGGCTTGGCGTTCCAAGAGCATATCAGGAACGGCCCGTATTGCGCACTGACCGTACTTCCGACAAGGTCCCAGAAGCCCTTCTGATAGGGTAAAATCGTGGAGGCTCGAAAACATCTTTTCGGCCGAATCTCACGGAAAAGCGCAGCTAAACTATGTCGCAGCGGGGATATTACAATCGCTTCGCTTGGTGCACTTCAGCCCCAATAGCCAAGCAAGTACGCGTGAGTCCACAATGGCTGTGTATGCATGAAAGCTTCCGAGGGGGTTTTATAGCACTTTTCTGGCACGCTAGAAACGTATGACTTGAGCAACAAATGCCTTCACAGTTCCCCATCTTACATCAAACCATTGACTGCAATCACCCACTTGCAAGTACCGACCAACCTTGACTGCATATTACACAAGATGGCAAAGTGCGATAACCCTCTAGGCGTAGGAGGTATGCCCACCAAAACTCTCCATTCATCAACTGTCAACTGATCTCAAGTAGTTCATGAGAAGCCACTGTTTAGGAACATGACGGCGCATGAGCTTCTTATCACGATAGCTACCGCAAGCTCGATCATCGCAATATCCCTTTCGCTATATCTAGTTTATCGCCACCTGACAAACTACACGCAGCCGAAGTTGCAGAAACTGTGCGTTCTAAGCTGCCCTCCCTTACCCTATACGGGAGAAACTGACACAGCTTCATAGAATCATCCGTATCGTGCTCATGGTACCGATATATACCATCTGCTGCACCTTGAGCATCCCTTTCTACGAGTCTAGCGTCTACTTAGGCGCTATATACGAATTTTACGAGTCACTCGTCATCGCTTCATTCTTCCTGCTGCTCTGCAGATATCTTCATACAGACCTGCATTCAGTGCGACAACTCTTCTCCATCGTTGAGCCCCAGCCATGGGTGCTTCCGGTACGGATGTTTAGGAAATACGTGCTTCGGCGCAAGACGACCAATACGCCTAATGGCTCCAAATACTTCAGCGTAAGTCTTGACCAGATGGTCACCCAGTATGGAGTATTTCTGACAATTTATCCCACTACGTAACAGATCATCTGGGTTTGCATCCTCCAGTTTTGTGTCATAAAGTTCTTTGGCGCTCTTACGAAATGCATCACCGAAGCTCTCGACGTTTACTGCAAGACTTCCACCGATCCAAATCATGCTAGGATATGGGTGTGTAGCCAACTTAGACGAGCTATCTCTAGATCGATGCTAATACATCTACGACACAGATACAGGTTATCGAGATCATCTCACTTATCATTGCTATGGTTTGCCTTTTGCAATTTTACAAGCAAACTAAGCTCGAGCTCGCTGTTCATCGACCATTATTGAAATTCGTAGCGATCAAGCTTGTGGTCTTCCTATTCTACGTACAGAGCGTGAGTTACTTGACCGCGTAGCCTGATAGCACAGAAGGCCCTGACATATACAGTTTATATTCAGCCACCTCACGAAGAAAGGCGGCGCAATGAGTCCGACTGACAAGATCTCATATCCTTCCCTCGCTGTCGGTATTCCAAAAACTGTGTTGTGCTTCGAAATGGCACTGGTCTCGATGCTCCATCTATATGCATACCCGTATGACGTATTTCAGACGTACAAGGCAGTCGATAACTCAGAAGAGAATGGTATCCGCGAGAGTCGCAACGGAGATGACGAAGCGATGGAACTTTCACCGCAGGAAGACTCGGTCATGTTGCCGAGGAAGATGCATTGGACCAAGGCCATCATTCACGTTTTGAGTTTCAAAGACCTCTGGCGGGCACTTCTACACTCTTACCATAGTGTGATAGATCATCGTCGAAAGCGAACAACGGCCCGGCATGCAGCGACGAATAGCGAACAGGGCGTGGAACCGTTCGTGACGACTAGCCTGGCAGAAGCCTTGGATGTGATGAGAAGGCGCAACAACAACTGAGCAGCTTATTCTCAACTGAGAAAGATGCAGCTCTATGCTTCAGCAAGATTATACAAACAGCCACATGATTCGAATAATTTCGTACTCCATAGTGTAAGCCTTCTACAAAGAAAGAGCATGACAGAAATGTGGGTACACCTCATGTCTTCGTAGATCAGTACTTTTGTCCGTCCTGTGCTTCTTCGTTTTCCGTGCCCACTATTTCTCATTCATACAGATTAGAACGGCCCGAATCGAAGGTCAGCATACCGTATCTACCGTATACGCGCACGTCCCTGGTAGAAGGGTCCAGTGAACACTATACGAAGGCTGTGCACATCCACAGGGTCGATACCATACTATCTTGTTCGGACGAATCTAGGAAATCAAGCATCATGGCTTACGCAAAGCTTACGACGACAGCAGAAAAATCAGATGATAAGTAGACTTGATGTATTGCAATTTGAAACCGAACGTACGATAGGTTTTGGAGAAAAGCATGCTTACATGTGCTCGATCGCGGCTTCCGTAGCTTTCAGAGCTCCGACGACAGCAAAGCAGATCATTGGCGTTATTGCGTAGCTAATGGTAAGGAACTTGGCGACAGTCATCTTCATCGACTCAGCTGCGCCCGTGACATCGGTCAAGGCTACTAAGATCATAGCGGGAGGACCGGTAGGCATCAACATCATCGAAAACCAAAGCATGGGGTCTGCATCGAGAAGTTTTGTTTTTGATGCGACTACCCAGATCAAGGGTATGCTTATCCTATTGGTAATTAGCCGAATGATCTTACTATAGCCACGGTGAAACTTACAAGGGCCAAATGATGAACCTAATCAAGGTGACAATTGCCAAACTTCCTTTGCGAACTTCACCACTATCCTCACCGCGCTTCATTCGCAGCATGCTCTTGCTGAGCTTTACTCCGACAACGATGATCTGGGTCGTAGCAAAGAGCTCGCCAATATTCTTTATAGCGGTCGTAAGCCAAGCATTGAGGTATCCGCCCTCGTTGCTAGGACTGAAGAAAAGCCTATGGAGAGCCGGTGTGAGCCCAATGACTGCACCGACAATGGCACCTAGCAATGGAGCATTGGCAAACTGCCATGTGATGTTCAAAGTCTCTTGCAGCCATGGCGACAAATTATTGTACCACTTTTGTGTTTTGAGATACCCCTTCTTCTCAATGCGATTCGCGGGCTTGGTTATGCGCTGTGGGAGTAGCGAAGTCTCCTCGTCGATGATTCCTTCAGGGCCTCGCTCCATATCACTGCTCTCGCCGTCCTCGTTTGCCTGGCCGTTATCTTCGTCATCTTCTCCTCCTTGTTCGTCAGATGCATCCTCATCTCCCGGCCTTAGCAGACCAGGTCCAATGGCAAACGTCAGCGAGTTGCTGACCATGGCATTCACCAGAAAGTATGACTCGGCACGATCCATAGCCTGGCTGCCAGACTCGCCACCAATGAGGATAGCATCGAGAATTTGGGTTTGTTTGAGCGACTGGATGAGAAGAAGTGGAAGCGAAGTTGTGTTGTTGAAAGCGATGGCTGGTGCGACCCAGGCTGGTAACTTGAAGATGCGCGTGAGGAGGCGGCCAACGAAGACAGAAAGTAGTGTATATGATATTGACCATACTGTCCGCGTAAGCTTTGATTCTGTCAACTGTATGGTGGGATTGAACTTACTGAGGACGGGCACATATCTTACGCCTGTGTCTTGATGCAGATTGGAGCCAATCTTATAGATCAACAGCGCCGGTAGAAACATGCGCACACATAGCTTGGAAACTTCCTTCGCCGCTTTGGGCGATAGTAAATTGCATTGCGCTGCAACAACACCGAAGGCGATGGTCAGAAGGACTGAGAAGGCAGCTTGAATAGCGCCTGTGAAAGGTACAATAAGTTCGCCTGCAGCCACACCCATGATTGCATTGACTGTAGTGGTAGGATGCTGGGGGAGGCTCCGCAGTGATTGTGTGGTGAGGAACGGAAAATCGGCACGATCTCGGTTCCAGGTCAGAATGATGCAACGCTCCAGCTAGTTCTTAAGCAAAAGGCTAGGGACATGGAGTTTAGCATCATCGTCGTCGCGCACGCGACATCTGCGCGTTCCTGAACCATGACGTCGGTGCAGCGGGCCAACGTTGAAGACGCCAATCCCACGCCGCGGCGCTATCAGTCGGATTAGTCCATCTTTCTCATGCTTTTTGCATCTTCATTGGGGGACGCGTAACTAGGCGCCAAGAATATATGATGAGTTGTGTCTCGTACTCTGGGCAACTAGGTAGATTGCGAGCTGAGAGGTGCACATGGCGTCGATGGAAACCTGGCAAACTTGGTGGGTGCGGAGATTGACGATCGCAGATTGCACACGTGTGGGCCCGCGGAGGCTGGAGCTCCAACGCTAGCTCCGAGCTGCGGTTAGTCATCAATCCCCCTGCTTGACAGCTCGTCTCATCCAGGCAGTTTCACCCCTTCACATTTCGACAACTCTATGCGCTTGTCGAGAAGCAGTGGTAGTATTACAATATGTAAAAAAAGGGAGTCTAAGTCTGAAGAACACCAACTATGCAACGCTAGGAAATCTCTCTGATCACATTCTCGTCCACCTCCGCCACAGCCTCGCCGGCTTATAAGCCGCCCCGTATCGGCTCCCATGCATCGCATTCCCCGCCAAAGCTTTACGCCGCCTTCTTTGTAGCCTTGGTCCTCAACTTCATCATCAAGTACACCAGTGTGTAACTGCTCACTGAGAACAATACAACGATAGCAGCGTTTCTCCAACCATAGTATTCCTCCGCTAGGTTCAGTGTCCGCAGGTAGTCTGCTCCAGTCTTGTACTGGCATACGCGGCAATCGGCGGTGGCTTCTGGGTTAAGCAAGTTGATACCGACGCCCATACCCTGCTGATAGACTGAGAGGTACTCGCCACAGGTCTGGTTGGCAGCCGGATCGAAGATGGCGAGTTCGCTTGTCTTGCAGTCGACGTCGGCAGACCAGGTGGTGAAGACGAGGAGAGAGGACATCAGGTAATTGAAGGGGTCAAGGTAGTAGAGCCAGTACCTCCAGAATGGCTCGATCTGGCTGTAAGGCACGAGTACTCCGCAGAATGACACGAGAGTTGTGACGAAAAGAGGATTGACGAGTGAGGCAAACACCGCGTTGGGAGAGTAGGCGGCAATCATCTGTCCAATGCCGGTGTAGAGAAACTCGTAAACAAGCTGTGATTGGTCAGTGTCCGCATCAGATGATAAAAGATAGGGGAGTTGCTTACCACAACGAAAAATGTGCTGCCAGCGTACTTCGCGGCGCCAGGAAGGCCAGCAGTAAAGTACCAGCACACATAGTACATGACCGCACATACTACCAGATACGGAAGTTCTGAAACGATCAGACCTGTTACGAACGGTGCCCAGTGGTATGTCTTGCTCTTCTTCTCACGTGTCTCGTAAACATCGCGACGCTGGATGAACAGCGGCTGCAGCTGGGAGATGACACCAGGAGCAACAAAGATAAAACTGAAGACAGTGAACAGTCGCAGTTGAAGGTCTTGGAGACTATCACCAATCATCCAGAAGGTGAAGCCGTTCAGCAAGGCCAGCAGGATGTGCATGAGCACTTTATTGTTGACGTACTCAGTATTGCGGAACAACGAGATGTTCATGCGGTGGGTGACGATCTTGACTTGCTCCCACATGGGAGCTGCGAATTGATGGCCATCATCGACGGTACCTGGTGGCTTAGCGGCGGCCTCCGCGACGATGTTGTCGAGCTCTTCAGTCATCTTCTCATGCTGGGGCGACTCAAGCCAAACCTTGTTCCAGTCAGTGTCTTTAGACAGACTACCGGAGACAACCTCGATCATGTGTTCGGCAGGGTTAGCCTCGCGTGGACAAGGCGCTCCGTGGCTGGCAAAGTAAGACTTGACTGTGCTTGCATCGTCACCAATGTCGCCAAAATAAACCGTCTTGCCGCCCTTTGCGAGCAAAAGAAGGGTATCGAATTGCGCAAAAAGCTGAGCTGACGGCTGATGGATCGTGACAAGGATCGCCTGTCCGACCTCTGCGAGCTTGCGTAAGAAGCGCACAGTGGTGAAAGCAGCTTCTCCATCCAGACCAGACGTCGGCTCGTCAAGGAAGATCAGAATGCTAGGCTTCGAAACTAGCTCGACGCCGATTGTCAACCGCTTACGCTGCTCTATGGAGAGACCAGCACCAGGTTGGCCGATTAGGGTATGCTCAATGTCATGGAGTTGTAGGAGGTCGATAATGGTGTCAACATAGCGAAGCTTCTCCTCTCGTGGGGTTTCACGAGACTGTCGGAGGAGAGCTGAGAATTCCAAGGCCTCACGCACTGTGGACAACGACTCGTGTACGTCCATCTGTTCAACATAACCTGCCGATCGCTGGAATGAGACGGGAAGGTCGCGCCCATCAACCATGATAGATCCACGGATCGTGCCGTCGGTCTTGCGTTGGGCGAGAACGTCCAGTAGTGTTGTTTTGCCAGCCTTGAGAAAAGTGTTAGCATCAAGACGCATACGAGGGACTCTAGATTGTTACTTACGCCTGACGATCCCATCAAAGCCCCGAGAGTACCTGGCTTCACAAAACCTTGAACGTTGTCGAGGAGGACGCGATCGCCCGAAGGGGTCTTGACGGTGTAAGTAAGGTTCTTCCACGTGAAGATAGAAGTGTTGCGGATGAGCTGGTTGGCGAGTGATCCGTCGGAGCTGGAAGACTCAAAGCTGGCTTGTGGCTTCTCAACAGCTTGCGACTCTTCATCATTAGCTTGGATATGCTTGTTCTTCTTCTGCTTCTCCCTGGGAATGAGGAGTCCACGTCCACCTTCGCCCATCTCCTTCCACCTTGAGGTGAAGACAATAGTGACTGCGACGAAGAATACCCACCATGCGAAGATGATGCCGACGTTGCGCCAGAGATGGCTATGGCTGAAGGACATGGAGGCAAGATACTGATCTCCTGTAAGTGTGCTCGCTCCGGGTTGGGCGCCGTTGACACCCATGCATGACTGGCCACCTTCACCAGGTACATATCCTGGTCCGTTAGGGACCAGATTAGGGCCCACACACGGTACCTGTGTGTTGTGGAACTCGTTACCAAGCAAAGCTTCGAACCCATAAGACATCGGGTTGATCCAAAAGATCCACACGAACCAATCCTTCATCTCTGGCTTGATGATCATGTATCCCATGTACATGAAGAGTGCTGAAACGAGAAGGCCTGAAGCTTTAGTCGCTGCGTCAAATGTCGGGAAAGCAGCACCTATCATTCGGAAACACGCCGTCATAGCCATGGCTGATGCGAAGATGATGATCCAGAATGTGAAGAAAGCTGATGCAGTAGTCTCGAGTCCGACCATAAAGTATATGACAATTCCAAAGTGCGTCATCTGGAACAGCATCAATGGTATGTCAGTAGCAATCTGGGCGATGACGAAAGCGGCAGGGTAGTGCATGGCGAACGATCGATGCTTAGCCAAGACAGGTCTTCCGGTAAAAGAGTCGGTCACCTCCGAAAGTCCCATATAGGCAGGGTACAGAAGACAGAAGAACAATGCGCCACCTTTGAGGAAGAGACCAGCCGAGTGGTCTGGCGCTTGGTAGAACAATGATCCAGCGACGAGAGCTTGGATGAGAGTAGAGACTTGCTTTACAATGAGCACAGGCTTATCACCCCACAATATCTGATACTGCCGAGTGACTGCCGTCTTGACCTGAGAGTAGAAACTCGTGGTTACTGTGGTGTTCTTTGGAAGGCCCTTGTGCTTGTCCCGAGCTTCCATCTCCTTGAAGTCGATCGTGTTCTGCTTCGCTTCGTCGGTTTCGGGGTAATCGAGTTCCGCCACCATTGTGGCCTTGATGGATGACTGTTCATACGCTGCTCGTACTTCTTCGCCGTTCCGCGGAAAACTCTTCTCGAAGCCTTCGGCGATGGCACGCACGTCCGGGGTTGTGACGCTGGTGAGGAAGTCGGCTTGGTTCGCCGCTGGATCGCAGAGGAACCCAAGATCTTGCATGAACGGGACAGCCTCTTCCCGCGGGCCATAGTAGATCTGCTTGCCCTCATCGAGGATGAGCACCTTGTCGAACTGCTCATAGATGCCGTTGCCAGCTTGGTACAAGGTTGCAATAGTAGTCAATCCGAGTATGTCGGTCATGGCACGCATAGCCTTTGTCCAGTCCAATGCTGTTCCAGCATCGAGACCTCTGGTGGAGTTGTCCCAGCAAAAGACGCTGCCGCGCGTAGCAAGACATTCCAGGATAGAAACCCGCTTTCGCTCACCACCGGACACACCACGAATGTACTCGTCTCCAACCTTGGTATCATGCGTGTGCTCAATACCGAGAGATCTCAGTAGGAACTCTTTGTACACTTTGGCGTATTCTTCGTGAGTTGCGATATCAGGTGGAAGGTTGTAGGGGACCTTCATACGCGTCGCGAAGTCAAGGGTAGCGCCCACAGACATGGTAGGGAAGAAGATCTCGTCCTCCGTGTTCATAACTGCGTTTAGGTCAGTATCCACAGTGTCGCATCGCTTGGATAATTCGTACTTATTTGACCACGATACGCCTTAGCTTCATCGCTGGACATGGAACCGAAGGAGACGTCACCCTCAATCTCCGCGTAACCTAACCGGTGATTTGATAGGATATTGAGCAATGATGTACAACCGGCTCCCGGATTCCCTAGGACAAGGAGCATCTCTGCGATGTATTAGCACTGCTCTTCCTTCCATATTCTCGATGTAGATGCGACATACCTCCAGGCTTCACGCATCCATATGAGTTATCGATGATAGTCTTCATTGGAGTATTCTTTCCGCTCTTTCCGAACGGGTTCAGTTGCGACAGTACATTCTCGTTGAAGAGGGCATCGTTGCTGATGCCCTTGACCGTGAGGTTCTTCCATGTCACACCCAGCTTTCGGGGCTTTCCGCCGTTTGCCTCGTTACGCTCCCTGAGTATCTCGACTTCCTGGGTGATTGGCCATGTTTCGCTGTCATTCGGCGAACTCTTGTAGGGGGTTATAGAATTTTGGTCGTCGTCGACACGCTCGGTACTCGACCCGGAAAGGGGAGTTTCTGACTGCATCGGGTATTCGATATCGCACAATATGAAATGTATAAGATATTTGATCAGAATGAACTGATATTATTATACAGAAAGTCTAAAAACGGTAGAATGAAAGATGAGATAGTGAAAACTTGATGCTTGAAACTGGAGAGGCCAGAACTGCCCATCCATATAGCCAAGTACCAGATTGTACTATCTACATTATCTCTGTCATAGATCTGAAAATACTCCGTGCGCCATCTTGCGAATCGCTTGGCCGGAGGGACGTCAAACCGCATATCTTTGTTGCGTAGACAGTATTTGGAGTGTACGGCCGTAAGGCCAAGGTTGAAGGGACGAATGTACTTTTTCGCGCTATTCGGGCCGTTGTGTACGGCCACGAGAGTCGGAGGATCAACGCGCCGCCCTGTGTTCAGCCCCGACTATGCGCCCTAAAGCAGATTGGAAATCTACCCAGTATTCGCGGGAGTCCGATTACTGTGGTGCCTACCTTTTGGCTTACGGACGTGCTTATGGTAAATACATCGTGTCTATTTCCTGATCCGTTGTCGCGCGAGACTTAGTAATGTACCGAATAGTAATCACCGGCGTGCTTTTTTCATGTGCTTGAAGACCTTTCTTACCTAAGTAGCGCAATTACGCTCGCTGGGCGGCACGTCAAGCCATGGACACAGGGACCACCCATCGATTAAAGCGCACTACGTGCTACAAAATTCAGGCGACAATCATGCAGTGGATTGTATGAGCTACATTGCGGATTTACACATCATTGCGACAAAGCGCGGTCGCTATCTATGTGCGACTTCGTAAAGGATACATTTTCCATGTGCATCGCGACTGTGAGAGCATGCGGAGAGCTGATGCGAGACAAACTTGGGAATGCTTACGTCATAGAACGGTAGACATCGGCCCATTAGAAGCCCCTTGATAGCTGCCTATCTCCCGTCGCTCAACATCAGGGAACAACATGCAACTAGTGTACCACGCACGGCGGTAACGATAGCGATGCTCACAATGGGATCGTCAATCTTACTTTCGTATGCATGTGCTTACATGAGACGGCTCCGAACGAAGTTCACGTGGGGTTCTGACATTCGGGTCACTCGATGGGTCATGTGATGGATTGGGAAGCGAGTATATAGACCTATTGTATTGTCCCATGTTGCAACGGCAGTTATCTGGTCAACACACTAACTCGGATTAGATGATTGGCGTTTTGCTTCAACAGACAATGAATGGCATGATTAGCGGCAAGCTTTGCACGTGTATTTCGTACCAATGTTAAGCTTGCTAAAGAAACACCAATGAGCTAGATACAAGATGTAGTATAACGCTTTAAGCTAGTCTCACATCTCATTGCCTCTTGCTAAAAGCCAGCGTCAAACAATCACAGTTGCTCATGTACTCACGCCAATGGCATTATCCTCGACTGACCGCTCCCTTCATGTTCTTAGGCCGGTGGAAGCTGCTGCACTTCCCTAGACTGTTAGCCGGAGAAGGACAGAAGTGCCGACTGCGAGGAAGTCCCGCATCTGACATGCTCACAGAAATGAATCGCTACCGTAGAAGGACGATCGACGAAAGGGGCTTAGTCTCCGAATAGTAAGGCCCACACAGCTAATCTCCTTTTGATTTAACAGGGATGAGTACCACATGTAACGAGGAAATTCCGCGCCCTTAGCTCTGACCGTCACGTACACTCTGGCGTTCATCATGAGGAGTGCCATATGTGCTTTCCCATGGAGCAGCAACCGTAAGTTGGTATACAGATGGCGAAGAAGGGCGTGTCGATTTTCGGCTATGCGCTGTACTCAAGAGGCCTCGCTAGCAGCGTTATCATATGATACTCAAAGCCTCCTCCCATAGTCGTCGAAATTGTTCTTCCGCATGCTGTGTCCTGTACCAAAGCACGCCTTTGATGCATTGAGAAATTTCATCCCATGAATACAACTCCAAGTCACGAGCGATAGGCATAGCTTTCGTAGTGAACCAGGCACACGTCGACGCATCCTGTGATGCGACCATCCCAACGGTGAAAATCCACAAAGCCAGAGGTCCATGTAAAATCGCCGATGTGGGTGGAAGACTTCCGAGATTGCTTTTGAGTTCCATGACCAAGGAGGACTGCAGATGCATGTGCGAGAAGTAAGTTGGTCCGTGAACGATGAGCATATACAGTGCTATAGCATATTGAATGCAGTGAGATGTCGAAATCAAGCTTAGGTTTCCAGGTTGTGATGTGTCCGGAGACCAGGCCAAAAGCTTGTGTAGGATGTAGCATGTCAAATCATGGAGATCCGTAGTTGAGAGCTTGTGCTCATGTGTTATGTGAAAGAGATGGTGCAGTCGCAGGAATACGTCCCTGATAGAAGGATCCAGCTCGAGATTAAGAAAGCCGAATGGAAGCTGATCTCGAGAGATGGCTTGTGATTCCAACCACTGAGGTATTGGTGCTATCCCGTCACCAAGGTGTAAGTCATCCTGTACCTTGAACTGCGGAGTTTGCTTAAGTATCATTGAAACCCTGGCAGTGAGGATCAGTATAGTATGCACAGAGGGCGGAAGAGCAGCTAAATAACTTACCAAGAAACCATGCGTGCTGTGAGAGGGCTTGTAATCCTCAAAAGATGTATGCCTCCTCGCAATCGTACCATCTCCTTAACACCGTCAATGTGCATACTGCCGACTGTTGTGTTTCCTTTACCATACTATAGTGCCAGATGTCAGCCGATCACATGCAATGAATATTTGGGTCTAGAAAACCAGCATACCTCTATAGCTGCAAGTGTAACAACGGAATCCATAGTTTCGTCTTGAGAAGCCAATAGCGGGTCGTTGACTCGTCGCCGGACCAAGGAGATGGAATCTGCCATGAGAACTTCTGAGTTCTCGAAGCCTTTCTGAGCTCTCAGCTCAATATCCAAGGATGCAGTCTGGAGGCTGACGTGGAACAGAGCTGGGTCTTGCAACGCAAGAGGCCACCACGACACAACGAACGGGTTAGACGTTGGTTTGAGATCCAATGGATAGTACTGAAAGGCGATATTTGACAAGACTAGCCTTGGTCAGTCATGATAGAAGATGCACAAAATTGAATGCAGCATTTTCATAGCGCGAGTATGGTGGCTGCGCCGGCATGACTTCTACTACTTACAGTGAATGATCAGTTGCTGCACACGAGCCCGAGGTAGTCTTGTTGTTGGATGGGCGTCGAATGGATCGAAAGCTTGACTCCCGGGATCAACCCATAGTACTGGGGAGGAGAATGATTCTTTCTGGACGACATCTGCGTTATGAGAGTATGTAGTCTCGGGGGGCGACAAGGTAAGCGGCTCGTTGGCATAGACACATTTGGTTTTCTTCTTGAGACATCGTGAGCATTGAGGTGTGCGAAGATCGCAGCTCAACTTGGATCTCGCGCACGCATCGCAGGATCTTCTGAGCGTCCTGCGCATATCGAGATGAGATTCCGAGGTTCAAGCATGACTTCTGGGCATGAAGGAGAGATGGGGCCCAGCGCAGCGGGAAGCCGCGGGTCACTCGCTTATGTTAGCGTCGACAAGGATTGATGAGACGGTGTCCGCGTGCCCATCACGCCGATTGTCCAACATTTGACAACGCGCACTCTTCCTGGCTCGTGCAACGTTCGTAGTCCGAAGATGTTGAAGTATCAAATCTGAAAATTCCCATCCCAGTTCGGAACCTATGGCAATTGGACGGTATAGGAGCGTGAGGCCGTTAGGTGAATGAGAGAGATTTTGGCCCAAAGACACGAATGCGCGATAGTCCTGCTAAATGCGAGTAGTGAAACGCCTCGTAAAGCTTCGAATTATCTTACTCAATTTCCAAGCATGCCATTGTCCAGATGCAAGCGCATCGCATTGTCCTAATCATCCGTCGATAGCTCGATAGCTTTCAAACAGATTTCCTGTTGAACACACCAATCACGTTACAAAACCACAGTGAGTTTGATAAATAAACATCGAGCGTCACATTGCTTGCAAACCTCAAGATTAGCCCTCAAATGTCTAATACGAAGATCCTTTTTACACAAGGAAACCCTCTGCTCATATAATCTATTTCTCGGCTCCTTATACAGTCAATCGCGACCCTGATCGCCACCCGGCCAAATGCACCGCAGATCTCGCCCTTCCAGAAGCCCAACCATCCTCATTTTACGATATTGCGGGGAAGCCCAGAATAGTCCAACCGACTATCAAACACGCTGTCCTTGATGCTGGTGATACCGGAGACGAGGGTCATTAGGCCTGGGTTGCGGCTCGCTTAATATGGGTAAATATGCATAGTATGTGGTCGAGAGTGGACGGAACGGCTATTGGATATTAGTAGTAAAGGGATGGCAGAGTGCTATACGGTGGCCAGAATTCGTGTTGATCTAGATATGATGCAGATCTCGTAAAGAAGCTTGAGACGGCAGCAGCGAAGCTAGACTAGGCGCAGGACATATAAGAAGAGAACAGAATCACGATCGTTGCAAGAACACATCGAGTACATACACATGAACTCCCATCAAGCTCATCATCATTTGATTTAGAGACCCGTATCGCGCTTCAAACATCGCTGCACCATCAGTATAACAATTTAGGCTTCACCCCCATCGCCACCAATGCGGTTCCTACTCTCACTCGCCACCCTTCCGTTCTTAGCCCTCGCCGCCCCGCCTTCTTCTCCAACAATAACGCGCATCGTCTTCTCTGGCTCAGGATGTCCTAATGACTCGGGTTCCGTCAAGACAGATAGCGCAACTCTCAGTGACACCGCCGGCGTCTCCTTCACGCAACTCAAGGGCGACTCAACAGACAACTGTGCTGTGCACATTGAGTCGGCCGGGGCTAGTTCCGGCTGGCAGGTCGCTGTCCGACAGGTTGATTATGTCGGCGATGTCAACTTGAAGGGAAACAGTGGGCTGGACACGTACACGCAGGTCTTCTGGAGTGAGAATGCTGGGAATACTGTAAGTCTGTTGATTTCGGCAAGACATATAACATGCTGATCATCTTTAGGGCGTACTTACCGGCGGTCTTACATGCGCGGGTCCTGAGATCAAAGACTACATCACTGTACGAAGCAGCACTGCGGACCTCAAGTGGTCGAAGTGCACTGGTACGGACGGAAACCCCGGTATCTTAAATGTCAATTTCAGACCAGTCATCCAAGGTGACTTTGGAACGTATGACTTCAAACACGCTGCTTGGAAGCTAGAGTGGCGGAAATGCTAAAGAGTCGGACAGGTTGCGCATGAGAAGAAACATAGGAATGTATATAGATAGTGTGGTGTTTTTAAAGCAAAATGTAAAGATAGGACACATTGATGCAACTCTTGTTTTTCGTTCTTCCGACCGCACCTGAACTCTCCCTGTTCATCAGTATTGCAAACTCAACCCGGGAGAGAGAAATCGGTGTCCCCAGAACCAGTCTCGATTGGCGCATCTTCCGGTGCCCCAGTTTGCGGAAGGCCTAACAGGAGATCAGCACATGCAATAGTCCAGCATCTCACTCAGATTGGATGTCCCGTCCCTGTCCCATATTCAAAGCACGCAAAGATAGCCGTGCGATAGTATGGCGATAGCTGGAGCGGTGGTTGAACGCGGCGTGACTGTTAACGACCGACGCGTCTAGCGCGATTTGATCATGAACCAGCGGACCGACGTCATCATAGGTATTGCGACCAAGATACCAGCCACCTGCATTATCATCCACTTCACATTGCCCACAACAAAATCTAGGTTGCGAAGTCTGTTAAACACTAATATTACACTTACTAAACAAGCCCTAAACAAATATAGCCGGCAATGATCTACCAGCTCCGCACTCAGCGGAATTCCGCACGTTTGGCATCCTTTCGACAAGGGGCTTGTGTGCGCCTCTCTCCATCGACTTGATCCGTTGGTTTGTGACACCTTGACCAGCCGCGAATAGTTTTAGTCACTGGCGCAATGAGAGACGCGTGTTGGGTCGGTAGCGACTCATGGCGGACATCCGCAATAGGCAGCCATGCAACCTCACCTTTCAACTAGCAATACTTCTATTGTTGAATCGAATCAATACTGACTTGACGCAACACACAATTCCAGCGATGCAAAACACTTCAGCTGGTAAGAAATCACAACCCGTACATCAATTCCTACTAACAATGACCCCAGAGTTGGCTTTTAGGGCCTTTATAGAGGACAAGTTCTGCTTCGCCCTTCCCCTTGATCTCGTAGACAACAGAATCGAAGCTCATGCCCCTATACGTCAATATCATGAGTCTTTTCAACTAGAGCTGAATGAGCTTGAAAGCAACCTCGATACGTCGAAGCCAGCCTATATCGTTCTCCGCCGTGGCGACTCGGTCACATTCATCACATATGTGCCATACCGTGCCAAGGAAGAACTTCGAAACCTTTTTCTCGAACGCAGACACAGTGTCGTACAACAACTCGGCGCAAGGCATATATCATACTCAATTATATGCAAGGAAATTGCGGAGATCACAGATGCTCGATCCTGGGTAGAACGAGACGCAGAGGCTCTCTCATTGAGTACTAAAAGGATCCAATGCGATAAAAAGGAGTCATGTGGTTGCCCTGAGCATAGTAAGAGTGACCTGGAAGACGTGGAATACAGGAAGAACAAATGTCGGCTTTGTGATCGTCGCATGAAGAACAAGATCTCTTCTGAAGCTCTGGAGGCACTGAGGGAGCTACAGACTCCATGTACAGCCGTGCAGATGGTATGGTACCCCTTTTCAATACGCACATTCATTATGAGCGCTAACCTATTCCAGTTCGTTGACGTCGCCACCGAAACTCTCGAACTGAGCTACATCAGGAACGGCATCATCCCCGAACATGTCGCAGCGACACTCCCGAATGATAGGCCCAGCTTTACCTTTTATCGCCATCCAGATACCCAGCTACTCTACTTCATATTCCATTCCCCCGACGATGCCACAGTCCAGGAGCGTATGAAGCACACAATGGCTATACCAGGCCTCATCAACGTTCACTCTCATGATCGAAATGTTCATGTAGATCAGAAGATCGAAATACACGATCCAGATGACTTGGTTTTCGAAGCCAAAGATGAGCGTATTGGCAGATTTAGGAGCGTATATTTAAGGAACAAGTTCGAGGGAACGGAGAGCACGTACGACAATCTGGAAGCAGACAAGACCTTTTATGACAAGGTCAGATAGTTGAAGCACGATTCCTGCTATCAATCTTCAAGCTTTTCTTCATATCCATCACACTTGCTGACGACAATCAACCTGCAAACCTAATTTGAAACATTTCAGGATCAACTGGCGTCCAGAAATCTTCTACCCGGCCATTGATCCCATCTGCACCACCAAAATTATCCATCAAACACCCGTCCATGATATTCACAGTCTCCACCCAAGTATCCATCTCACGAAAGGTATACCAATCATGAAGGTGGAGCCGTTGTAACCCATTACCTATGGTTCTGCTCAAAACATCGTACCTCTCGCCTACCACGTTTACTCCTAGATATTGATGTGCTAATTCCAAGTTATGGAACATGTATAGCATCTCCCTACCTGCTTGTTGATCTAGGCTCCGAAGGATGAGGTAGCCTTTGGATGGTTGAACAGACATGAGGGAGTAAAGAATGAAAACAAAGATGTGGTCAGAAGGTTACAACAAAGACCAAGTAAGTATGACCTTAAATAGCCGCACGAAGCATGAGGATAGTAGCAAACTGAATAGACGTCGTTTTTTGAATTTGTGATTAGATAGTTGTTGGTTTGACCTTCAAGTCATGATGAATCAGGGGCTTCCCTATCTCTACCATGCTGAGCAATCAACTTGCTTATTCCGTCCGTCCCATTTGCACCACTTTTGATGTTCTCGAAGCATCCGTCTACCATGTCCGCACATTCGACCCAGACAACTATGTCCCTCCCATCGATGAGGCGAGCTCCCCGTTTCTCTATGTGGAATCTTCTTAGCCAATCAGCACTTGTCGCCCCGCCTGTAACACGATACGATATCGGAAGTTCCCCAATGTACTCATCCAGGTAACGATCTGCTTCGGTCAAACTGTTGGACTGGTATAGTATAGTCGGTAAAGCATCGTCTGGTTTTTCGTAAAAGACTATGTAAAGTCTGGGTCGTGGTTGTTCTAGCATACTGTTGGATACTAAGTGTGGGTGTAAGAAGTAAGTGTACATCTCACATCCACATCGTCAGGAGCACTTACGATGGCTAGGGGTTGAGCGAAACAAGAGGGTGAGGAAGCGAATGAGAGTTTGCCATAAACTAGGTCACTGGTGTTGAGAGAAGGAAGCAAACAGACAAACGCATACGGTTCTCCCCCTACTAGTCTCCTTTCACTGTACGATCTGATGAGCTGCAAATAATGCATCGAAGTATCAGGAGTTGTCTCGTTCTATAGCGTGATTCTCGTATCCTATGGTATCGTACAGCGCAACTACCCCGAATGCTAAATGTTGAATATAACGCCGCTGCTTGTATGCAAGTGTATGCCCCCCCGGAGTGCAGTAGAGATGATAAAAAAGTATATAATGCGAAGATGATACACGCCTGATGCAAAAGTAAAGACCAAAACAATGAAGACAATGCACACATACTCCTCTTCTGAAGGAGTCGCTGTACCCCTCTCTTCAGCGCAATCGTGTGTGCACAAGGCCTATGCCTGAACGCATGTCGAAGTCTTGTAGTGTACAAGATTCCTCTTTATCTACTCTCTTGTCTTATGACCAAATGCATGCTGCCTGGAAGATCAACGAGTTTACATTGTCTTCCTCACACGCCTCCTCTTTCTCCCACTATCAACTTCTATACTTGAGCTCATGGTATCCCTCGCACTCCTCGGTGTTGAAAAGCGTTCGCGGATATGCTCTCGGATGACCTTCTTAGTCTTATCGCGCTTCAGTTGGCGCTCTTGATCCGGGTCGACGAAGCGATGGACAGTGCGGTGGTCGCGAATGCGCTCCTCTTTGTCGTGCTTGCCTTCTCTTTCAGTCTTGGGCCAGGGAAAGCCATAGAGCTTCGAATGGCGTTCGCATCGTGGGCACTCTTTACGCGTGTTGTAGCCGTCCTGCTGAACGAAATCTGTGTCGCATGTTTGGCAATTAACCCACTTGGAGTATTTGGCTGAGAGAAGGGCGTTTGATGTCATGTAGTCACCTGGCTTTCGTGTATTCTCGACATAATCGGCTTCGTCCCCCTCTTCGATCGTGATCGGCGTCCCGACGCGGTTCTGAACGTCGAAGCGCGACTTGGAACGTGTCGTGCGTAGGGTAGGTCGAGGCTTGCGCTTGACAATCTGCTGGTTCACGTCGTCAAATTCGAAGCTCTCAGAAAGTTCGCTGAGATCGGACATGTATGCGTCTTCGTCTGCAGGCGGGGAGGGCCACGGGGCGTTTACCGTTGTCGTAGTAATTTCCTCCTTCACTATGGCCACCCCAAGCGCTGGGCGATCTTGTATCGTCTGAGAATCAACCTTGTCCTTGTGATCGCTAACTTCATGTGCATGATCTTCGTCTATCGATGTAGCATCTGTAGACGAATGAGTCGACTTGGGTGAGGCCGCCGCTATAGATGACTGTGGGGACGGTTCCCGTGACGAGCTGATCAAATCCGTGTTTACTGTCAGAAGGCCCTCATGCTGCTGATTGCGATTCTCGTGCGATTTTTCTGGCAATTCCTCCAAGCTGGTCGCCGGGTCTTCGACACTCGACACTGGGAGTTCCTGGCGCAACGACGATGTGCTATGTGCCTTCTTGAGCGTCGTTTTCCGAAGGAGATTGGATGTGTGTTGTTTGTTTGGCGAACTCTTTTGCTCGAATCTTGCACGTTTCGGGGCTGGTGTCGAGTCGCGCGAAGGATCCTCTTCTGTAGAGTCAACTCGTGGCCTCTTGGCGGAAGAAGAGATAGTTTCGGAGGCGGTGTCATCTGTATGTACTTCGTCTGTGACCTGCATCTCATCTTCGTTCTCGCCGTCGTTGAGTTCAACACGCTTCATGGGCGCCCAGCCGTTTTGCTGAAGACTTTCGCAAGTATTACACAAGCACTCTTCGTTATCGTCACCAAAATAATCCTCGCCATAGGAGACTGTAATCTCCTCTCCTTCAAGAATGGGCTTCACTGCAACAATCTGCATGCCATCGTAGCCCTTGGTTGTGAGCTTTGCGTTGGCGTCGCAATCGTGGTTGGCGAAGCGCGCGGGGCCTAGGAACAACGAGCGCGTTTTCTTCCTACTGGAGATCACCAAACTGAAGTCTTTGCGCGCCAGCTCCAACACCTTCTCTTGCTCTTCTGTCATTGCCACTTGCACTCCGGTCAAGTACTTGATCTCCTCGCGGGGGTTGATGTCTCTTCGCGCGGTGATTGAAGCCTCGTGTTCGGTAATCATATAGCGGTTGGTGGTAGTGACCTCAAATTGGCAATCTGACATGTAGATGTTGACGTATCTCCGGAGATGTCGTCTGAATTGATCCTGATCCCGCTCATCCTTCAGACTGTTGACGAACCTGCGCAGTCCTGGCAACTGCAATAACTTGTGCACTGCCTCGGCTGGGTCCTTCTCCCAGACAACGTGTTGCCGGATGATGTCGGCAACGTCTTCCTCATGTAGCCCCCTTGATCCCGTGAATCGGCCGCCTCTGTTCTTGCGAATCTTAGCCCAGAAGTACAGCTTGTCGACAAGCGCGTCGGTGATGATGTCGTCGAAGGTGGCAAGCTTGTCCAGCGTGAGTTTCGTTGAAGGCGCCATGATCGCGTGACGCGGTGGTGAAATGAGGTCGAGGGTGTATGCGCCAGCGGCCGTGGGTCGTGGAGATCGTGAGGAGTCGTAGAGTTTCGTGATTAAAGGGGTGGTTGGTAGGGCTGACTGACGTTCTTGTAGCCGGGAACGCAGCGACAACGCATTCACCGTCAAAGTACAATAACAGGGACACGAAAAGGAGAGGGAGCGCCACAGACAATAGCAGCGATGCGCGCAAGGAGAGGAAAGAGCGACGGGCGCAACCGCTCACCCGACGAGTATGTGCGGGAGTAAGTGACCTCGACAAGGCTCGCGGCGCTCAATATCCCTGTACTCAGCCGCCCTGCTTATGGAGACGCGCATAGGCACTTGCGCTGGGGTGAAAGCATAAGCGAGAAGACTGGGGTGACGGCGCAAGCCGCCGAACTGCCAGAGAAAGCCCGACACTACGACTTGCAACTTTGATGCTGCCGACCTAGACAACCACCCCACTGCACAACCACAAACAGCGCGCATCGTGGCAGGCAGTCGTAATCGCAATTTCACAGCAAGGCACTCAAGATGATTCAATTAAAGGTGTGCCGAATCCGGCGATCAAGGCGGCAGAGCAAGGACTGATATCCGCCCTTCTAGACCCTCGTAAATTGCATCGACAACTCAGGCGCCGCCATAGTCGAATGTGTCAACGTCCTCCGATCGAAACGCCCCGCGAAAGTCGGTACGTCTAGTGCACCGTGGCAGAGGAGTTATGCTCGCAACAAAGGCTGATGGAAGCAGGCGACCGCATAGTAGTAGTCGTAAAGAAGCAGCGAAATTTCGGTCCGGAAACCGGTAACAGCGTCTCCATCAGCGCAGCGAACAAAGTACGACGAGGAGATGTACGACACGCGGTTGTAGTACGGACAGCGAAGAAGTGGCAGAGACCAGACGGCAGTGTAGTCAAGTTCGACGACAATGCCTGCGTGCTGATCAACAAGGCTGGCGAACCTATTGGATCCAGAGTCAGTGGTGTCGTTGCGGCGGAACTGAGGCAGAAGCAGTGGTCAAAGATCTTGTCGCTGGCGCCCATGCATGTGTAATGACATATGGTTGGTCCTATACATGTATGACGGCATGGCCGTGGGGTGAAAGATGCATTTTTGGGAGTCTATGGAGCGCTTTGGAATGTAACATTATGTGTATGCCACTAAACTATACCCACGGGTATCTGAAGACCGCTTTTTCCTGAACTCCTCGCAGTAAATGTTGTGAGAATAAACGCCAGCTACATGCATTCATATCTTCGTCCTCCTAGCTATCGGACGGGCGCGAGACGTGACCACATCCGGCGCACACGTAGTAAAGGGCCTAAGAGAGTCAGGATAGCTCGTGAACTTGTCCGGAATACTTACCATGCCCGTCTCGGCGGTCCGCTGCTGCGACTGGAAGAAGACGGCTTCATTCTCGCCGCACTCTGTGCATTGTTTCTGGATACGCGGTAACTAGACACGGGTACAGTCAGCGAGCACGCTCAAGAGCAAGCAAGCAACTGTACTGGTGGGAGACGCAGGGGGCGCTTTCAAGACGTGGGTTCGTCCCACATGTCTTCATCGTAATCGTCGTCGTAATCTTCAAACATCTCATCCTCCTCGCGCATCTCCTGCTGGGGACGCTCTGCCTGCGGGTCCTCGTCCTCGGCCTCCAGCGCAAAGCCAGGAGCCGATTCCTCGCCGCACTCCTGGCACATGATGGGCATGCCACACATGGTGCAGCAGGGCATCTCCTCAGAAAGAGCGGCCTGGGCAGCTTGGGCATCGGACAGGGAGTAACCAACCGTGGGATCCTGAGCAACCTCGGCTGTGACACCGGCTGTGGCTCCGACTGTGGACGCGATTTCGTGGCGCATAACGCAGGATGAGGGCGCTTCTTCGGTGAAGCTGCATGTGCGGCAGGCGAAAAGCAGCTTGTTCTCGGACTTGTCTTCGCGGGGGAACAGCAAGTTGGAACTACACTTGGTTAGTGATAATCTTTGTCGCAGGAGACCTTGGCAGGCTGCTCACCATTCTGAGCAGAAGCGGAAAAGAATGGGCTCCTTGCCGCCCTTGGAGCCTCCCATTTGTGCTGCTGGAGACGCCATGTTGGGTGCGGATGTGGTGGGTGCAAAGGTCGTAATTCGTGTGTGCTCGTGTAGCGAGTGCAGTCGTGTCGGTCGTATTATTGCGCGTGTCGAGAAAAGTCGAGAAAAAGTGTATCTCGAAAGAGACGTCGATGTCGGAGTCGGCGCAGAGTCACGTTGGTGAGCGCGGGCCACCCGTCTTGATTCGGCTGCTGTTGCTGTGGTGCAGAGCCGCGCTCTTTGTTTGTAAGGCGCCCCCGCATTATGACCTTGAAGCGCCGATCGCCTTGTCCACCGCCTGCAATTCTAGACGTCGCTCCACGCTGCCCGTATAACAACCGTGCGGAGACTCCTATCAAGCTCTGCACTACTTGCGCTCTACCATAGCATACCCCATTCTACTTTTACAGAAACAACATCAGCAGAAATGGTAAGCATCGCGCCCCGCAATCCAGCTTACCTTATGCACCAACTCACGCGTTGCAGTCGTCCGCCGAGACTGGACTCCCTGAAGGATGGGAGGTGCGCCGCTCCAACACAAAGAACCTCCCATACTACTTCCACGCCCAGACAAAAGACTCGCGATGGGAACCACCACAGGGAACAAACCCAGACAAGCTGAAGGCGTACATGGCTGCCAACCACAGCTCCAAGGGCGTCGCACCGGCAGCCGTCGCAGGTACTGAGGGCAAGATCCGATGCGCCCATCTCCTTGTCAAGCATCGCGACAGCAGACGCCCGGCTAGTTGGCGGGAACCCAATATTACGCGCTCAGTGGAAGAAGCGCGGACGATGATCGAGAATTACCACAAGCAGATCCAGGCCTACGAGGAGGGAAAGGAGGACCCTAACGCCAAATCTCTGTCGGAGCTTGCAACCACCGAGTCAGATTGCAGCAGCGCTCGCAAGGGAGGAGATCTGTAAGAAGTTGCGACGCTGAAGACGTCGGGAGAAACACTAACGTCACCAGGGGCTTCTTTGGCAGGGGCGACATGCAGAAGGAGTTTGAGCAGGCTGCCTTTGACCTGGAGAAGGGCCAAGTGAGCGGCATGGTCGAGACGGCTTCGGGCGTGCACTTGATCCAAAGGTGGGACGGCTTTCACATGTCTCAGTATGGTGCTAACAGTGCGCAACACAGGCTCGAGTAGTCCACTAGTCGCGCGAAGACTAAAGCATGAAAGCGTGATGTACCGTGATGAGGGGTTTACTGGGACGCGTGCGGGCTATGCCAGACTGGAAGAGTTCGGGAACGTGGCTCAGACGCGTCGTCGATGACCACCCAAGAGCAAACAGTGATGGTAGTACTAAGTAATACTACTATCATAACACATGCATGTGAAAAGCGCCTCAGGACGCAGCACGTTCAAGGTGTCGTGTCGTGTGTCAATTTACATGATTACGTCGTCTGGCATGCTCATTAGATCGACCAGGCATTGGTCAGAGACCATACGTCGTTGAACGCGTGCTGACGACAAGCAGACCACAGTCCAGATGGAGATAGAGTTTGTGGGGCCGGAACCAGAGACGTCAAGATGAAAATTCTCGCAATCGCCCGCACACAGCCCAGGACCAAAGTCGGGGTCTGCTACAAAAGCGCGCAGTTGGACAAGACAAGTCGTTCAATCCATCTCTCCGTATCACTCCTGCGCTTTGACAGAGACTTCGGCTAACGCGACTTCCCCCGCCAAAGCTATAGCTACGCTACTGCAGTAAGTAGGCGCCGGCCTCCATGTACATATGTACCTCAGTCAGCTGATGTTCAAACTTGAAACGCGAGTACTAAAGACGCCTTAGAGCATTCCTCGAGCCGTTTGCACACGTCTCTCCTCACACTCGAGCGGTTTCAGTGTGTGTGGCTGGTTTCGGCATTCCTGGAGCCTGCGCCTCGCCCCCAAGCCAACTCGGTTCCGGATCAGCCCGAGACCGCAAGGAAGCGACGGGCCAGTGACGTATCATGTAAGTTGGCTGGCAATTTTTCTTTTTTTGGCGTCAGCCCACCTCAGCAGACGAGCAGCAGCAATATTCGGGCGCTGGATCTGGACATGCCGAGAGGTTCGTTTTGGGATGCTCTTGCGTCGCGATAGCGTGGCGGGCATGCCGTGCAGCAGTAACTGCAGGTGGGCAGCCATGATCCCGAAAGTCTGGGAATCTCGCCCTAGCACCTTTTTCATTGTCCGCGCACGCACAGCGTTTTTCCCTGCGTCACAGTAGCCCGCAATTTCACTGTCAAGCTCCTGGGCATTTGGGCTCACCAACCACAGTGGCACAGCCTTCCCGCCCCTTCACCCCTTCATCATCTGTCCAGGCCTTGTACCCTTACATCTGCGGCATCCCCGATTCCTCAGCCCGTGCAGCTCTTCGCACCGTGAATTGACGTAGTCGCTCCGTCAAGCTATATGGGAAAGTGCCTTGGGCCGTAGATTCCCATAACCATCAACACGCACCAACGCCGCCCGCAAAGTGCCCGCACACCCCTGCCCGACTCCACACCTCGCCCTGTTTACTCCGCTAAGACCTTCGATCACCAGCGCTTCCGCGATCTTTTACCCTTCCACCTCCACCACCTCACACACAGAATATTTGTCTAGAAGATTCCCGTCGCTCTCTACAAATACTACTCACGCTCCTTTGAGTCTTTACAAGCATCACTCATTGCTGTGCACCCCGCAATCCACTACCCAGTCTCAACCTCCACTGTTTGTCGACCACAACTCCACACAGACCTATCCGACATACTACACTGCCGCTATGGCTGCTCCACTATCTCCCCACCCTGTCTATCATGACCCTATCCCAACACCGCGCCGCAACTCGAGTCGCAAGACTATTGCTTGCCTCTCACGCACTGCCTCCAATGTGGAAACTGCTCGCACCGTCTGCCCCAAGGACGGCGATGCATTCAGCTACGACCCTATCCACTTGCGCCATTGGAACTGCCCTCAGCAACTCTGGGACTGTCTTCCCAAGCAAGTCCAGTCTAGCCTAACTGATGTTCAGCGTGCAGGCGCCGCTGTTCTGACTGGTAAGTCTAACCATTCTCCGTACACTTGGTTTGATGCTAACTAGATCAGGCTTCGCGCGTCTTGACCAGCACTTCGACAGCTTCGAAGTCGACCCCAAGGCTGCCGGAGACGAGCTTCTGGTTCACCTCGACGAACTCCCTCCCCCCAAATTCCGCACAATCAGCAACGCTAGCAGTGTATTCCAGTCTGACTCTTCCTCGCCTCTCACTACTGCGTCAACAGCCTCTCAGTCAGGAAGTGCCTCGCCTACGACTCCGGCTTTCTCTGGCGTATCTGGATCTCAAATCATGTGCCCTGGTTCACCCATCTGCCTAGGTCCCCCAGAGCTCTCTCGCTCACGTGAGCGCTCCTTCTCTACGCCGCTTAGGTCGCACGACGCCAAGTATGCTGCTGAGCTGTCGCACCTGCGAACTGAGGCCCTTCCCCGTCTACGCCACAAGTCTTACAAGGTCGATACAGAATGGCAGGAGGCTAAGCGTGCTAAGGGTGCCCTCTCCTCCGACGACATCAATGCTTTCGAGAACTTCTGGGCCGAGAAGAAGTTGCTGATCCTTAGTCTCAATGAACGCGGCAAGCGCCTTGCAAGCGCCGCCGGTCTTGCCACCACCGGACTCGGCTGGTGCGCCCCATAGAGGCTAGTGATGTGGTTCTCCTCGAACCGGTCTCTTGAGATGGTTCAGTGAGCGCATCAGTCACGCGACTTGGCACAGCACAACCACAAACTTCCTTTTCTTTCCCATTTCCTTGAAGTTTCATTTCCCCTGGTTTCTGCTTAACTTCCTGTGCGTTACAAGCGAGGAGTTGGTCGGTTGGTATTCATTCATGTAGGCATCTACACTCACAGATCGGGAAGATCTACTGGAATGGACATAATCCTATGATAGATCTCATACACGCCCATATCATCATGACGGCGGTCTCACGAGAGATCCATTTTGGTTGCATGGCGGTTGCCATGCGATATTGCGACAAATTCCACACGGCTCATCTTAGAAGGTTAGCCCAGATAACGAATCATAACATCTAAATGACGACTTGTTTTGCGCATGTTCTTGCTTGCCAGTGCTGCATGCCACTCTCGTCATTCGTCTTTTGCGAGAGATAATGCTTTGCTATCATTATATTGTGGTGCCCAATACGGGCCCTATCGAGCTGCAGCTGCATAAGTTGTAGCTGCCCAACACTCGAAAGTTAGTCCAACGCCTCAACCTGTCTTCAAGCAGAAGCTGACAAGGTGCACCAATATTGTCAACGCGGGTCGTGCCAACAATGAGGTTGGCCATGTAGAAATGCAGCCAAGCTTGAGCAAGCCCGATCCTGCCCGTTCTCGGCACTGCTGCAGCCTGCATCTGCCAGTTCAACCCCGCCCCTGCCACAGCAACGAGAGGGGTGCGTCCGCGCCCGCGGATCGACATGTTTCATTGCCAACTCCCAACCACGCGAAACAGGGCGTCTGAATTACGCTGAGATGATCGACTTATGTGCGAAACATGATGCGCCCAAAAAAGAAGGTTTGCTTCTACGCAATGATTGGTCTGCAAATGTTGACCGACGTTCTTAGTGCTTCCGTGCCGTTGCTCACCCAAGAAGAACTATTCAAGTTTAAGGTGTCGTATTCTCAATAAGCATCGTCGTCATCTGTATCAACTCGGGGCTGCTTGCCTCGATCCTGACTGCCGTTGGCCCTTGCAAGCGGGCTGCCTCCGAAGTCACGCCTGATTGGGATATCCTTGTCTCCATTGCCTGGTCTCCTACTGCCACGTCCTAACATGATTTCAGTATACCATCGATATCACAGTGGAATGATGATACTCACCGGCCCGGTCACGGCCAGCTTGTTGTCGCATGCCTGACCGCACTGAAGGCCCGAGCCCAAGATCGAAATCATCAGACTTCGAGTCTAAGTGGGCTCGCCTGCCTCCACCACCACCTCCACCACCCATCATCATCATACCTCCGCGGCCACCTCCCATGGCTCTGCCATACATTGCAGCCATTTGATCCATGTCCATGTCCATTCTCATGGCGCCATTGCTGAACTGTCTGCCTGCCTTCGCCCCACGATGCGACATGAAGCTGGGCCGCATACCCTTCTTGCTCATCATGCCAGGTTGCATGTATGGATTTCCCATCATCCCCATGTCGCCCATATCACCCATGTCATTCTCAAAGCCTCCCAAGCCAGTACTTTCCATACCACCGCCCATTCTACCCAGTTCCATACTAGGATGCATGCGCCATTTACCTGTTGGATCAGCCATGCCAGGTGGCATCCGACCCGTGCCGTACGGATCACCGTTCATCATGCTCATCTGCTGGGCTATTCGTGGATTCATATCCATATCGTTGATCGAGAACGCACTCGGCCTTATGCCTGCCCCTCCAAAAGGTTGTCTTGTGGGGCCGCTCTCGGTTCTATCTCGTTGGTGACTGTCCTTCTTCAGGTCTTGCAATCCATTGAGCGCTTCCAGTACATCCTCTTTGAACTCGTCGAACTCGTCTTTCCGCTTCTTCTCCTCGTTTCTGTCCTTCTTCTTCTTCTTGCTCTTCTGCTCTTTTTCACTGTCACTGCTCTCGCTTTTCTTGCAGCCCGAGTGATCTCCACAGTCTTTGCCTAGATCTGTTTTCAGTATGTACCTGATCTCACCGCTACCGTAGGTATAATCCTCCTCGTCTGAGTCGCTGCCTTTACGGGGATCATTTCGTGCAAGGTATATGACGCGCTCGCTTTTCCTGCAGTTGCAAGCTGTGGTGCAAATACAGGCGTCAAGAAAGGCGTCGCCCCCAAGCAACTCGCCCCCTGAAGGGCCAACCTGCTTATTCCAAGGTTGACCGCGGTTTAGACGGGCTGACGTTTGCGGGTCCGCGCGGGAGCGCGATTTTCGTCCATGCTTCTCTGCGTTGGCGTATGCGCCCTTTGGGATATGCTCGTAGTGCTTTGGTATTTTGCGGCCGGCTCGTCGTGTGGGCTGAGATGTGTCCGGGCTACTTCGTGATGATGACTGGCTGGGAGCTACTTCCCTATCTGCATACGGTTTTATGCCCGCGCCAGCACCAAATCGAGGCATCGATGGATTTGACGTGTATTCTGGAGGCATACCAGGTGGCTGCATACCCCCCATCGCACCCATAGCACCCAGTCCCCTTATAGCTTCCATACCCCCTATTCTTGGACTCCCAGGCATACCCATTGACATACCGCCCATACCTGGATATCCGCCCATTTGCATCTCAGGCGCAGACCTGAGTCTCGGATCCATACCTTCAAAACCCCTTAGCCCACCTCTGCGTTTCATTCCCGACATGCCACCACCACCCATCATACCGCCGGGATAGCCTTTGGATACTTGACGTCGCATACCTCTTGGACTTCTGCTTTCCATCATATTCAAGTCTGTGCTCTCGCTATCGTCACTCTCTTCGGAGATATCTATATCTGGTCCTCCGTACCGGGGGTAGGGTCGAGTTCGCGGACGTTGGTGTTGGTGTCCGCCACGATATGGTAGTGGACAGGGCGTGTATATGGGACCTCGTGTGTACGGATCGGATCTTGAGCGCGCGTAGGAGGGTGGGTGAACACTAAATGCCGTCCCTGTATAGACGTATAAGTATGGACAATAACAATGGAAGGACAGATGGATGAGGTGTAGAATAGGACCAAAGAGGTTTACGCACCAGGGGGAACTAAGACTTTTCCTCCAGGAGCGTTGACTTCGACGAGGGGTGGAGGTGTAGAATGCGATGCACCCATAGCACTCACGTCCGGCGGACCGTTACAGGAAAACCGGATTTGTTGTAGAAAGGGATACTTCCGGGTGATCCTAGATGCGGTTCCTACAAACAGATTAGCACTCTTAGCTTTCGTCGCAGACCAAAAGCACAGGTATCGCCTATACCAGGTACATATAAGGATCTCGATGCTTCAAGGTCCGTTCACTACAATTCTTCGTTCGCCTGAAAAGAAAAGAATGACGAGCGAAGAACGAGAACGAGAACAGGTAAGTATTGCAGCACGGTGTGTTGATGCTCACCGACTGAAAATACTCTGACATGTCAGCTGTCATTTGTTTGCTTGTGCTAAATGGGATGCGCAAGTGCTGCGTTGCACGACAGCAGCTATTGTCGTGTTGCAGTTTGGCCCTTCTCGTATCACCAGAAGGCTGCTTGTCTACTTCTCTGTTTTCGTGTGGCTGGCTCAACGATAGATCTAGCGTTGTGAAAAGCAATGAATGCAGGTATGTGACTTGTGAGTAGAATCTTGTGTATGGTGTCATTGTGTCTATGTGTATAAGCATCGTAGACAGTGTGTGATTTTCCCATCCGGACAACATCATGCTAATGTCGCGGAAAATTACCACCACGCATCAAAGTGCTAGAAAAGCTTATTGCCTACAGAATTGAGACTACAATAGTCTACGAGTACTTTTGAACATTTCCCGCTATGAGGAGATACTCCGTGGCTGCCATGCTAGGTAATCTGCTTAAGTCGCTAGACGACAGTGCACGCCGCCATTCGCAATTTACTATGCTGAATATTAGAATAGCACTCCTGTATATCAGCTGCATTTGTTCAGTCACCCAAGACACGTTGTTTTTGAAGTCATGTTATATTCTCATCCGCCGTATACAACTGCTACTCGTACCCCATGTACTTCATCGCTCCTTCAATCATTATGCAGAGTATCATAAGACCATAGCCTCCAACTCCAGGAATGGAACAACCCCGACCTGCGCCAGACAGTAACAAGAACAATGATAAGACATGATACAAGGAAACGAAAGCAGCAACGCTCCCTCGACTTTTCCGCGGCTCCGCGCGAATGTACTCAAATGCCAAGCTCATCGAATTGGCGTGCTCAACTCGGGAAATGGATGCGCAGCACCCAATCCCTTCAAACTTCTCCTCCCCTGTCGCCGTCTCCAAAACCCCAATCTTAGTCGGTGCGAAAGAGTAGAGTATTGGCGAAGCTAAAACACAAAGAAAGGCCAGTAAGTAAGTGAATGATTCAAAGAAAGTAGATGAGTGGTATCGATGATGAAGATGAAAAGGAAGACTAGAAAATCATCGATCGAACCTGCTCTCTACGTCCCGGCTTCCCTGACTCCTGGGTTCGCGGTCGTGGAGGTGGTGCGTGTGACATGCGAACATCCTTTAGAGGTGGAGGAGGCGCATGCGACTGTGTGCGGGCGTGCCCCTTGACGGGACTTGACGGAGTTGATTTGATGGAGCCTAATATGTCGTGAGATTGGGTGCGTGCGTGAGAAGGCCGGCGGTTGACGCTCGGTGAATTTGGCACTGGATGCGACTTGGTTGGTGAGATTGGTGCGCCAATCTGTGACCGCGTAGCCTTCTCCTTGCGCTCCTTCTCAAGGACCATGGCAGCCCAGCCCTTATTCTGAGCAATGTCTTTGCCAACAGTCTCATAGAGCACCTTCATCCAGGCCTCTTTTTGTTCGCGGCTGTCGGCGTAAAAGTCGATGACCTCACCGTTGGCGAAACGAATGCGGAAGCCTTCTTCTACGAACATGTAGCCTTCTTCATCATCAGCAAATCCGGACTTGCGACGACCACCAGACTTTGTAGCAGATGGCTGCTGAAGGGCGCTCTTGTCGTCAATGAGCTTGGAGGCCTTGGCCAGGTTGATGGTAGCACGAGGTTGCCGTGTGGACTCGTGGTAAGCGGTAAGCTTTGTACCTTCCAAGCGGAAGAAACGGCGTCGCCAGTACGGACAATCTCCACCCTGCTGGCTCAACGTCCCTTCGAAGCTGATGTCCTTGACTTGCTCAGCTTCCTTGAGTTCACGGATAGCAGCGTTCATGCTCTTGGGCATGTCCGAATCCTTTCCGTTCTTGGGCTTGGGAACATAAAGAAGCTGAAGGGTAAGTTTACCCACCCGGTAAGGTGGACGACGAACAACACCTCCACGCTTGCTCTTGACACTGCTGGCGCCGGTGTTGTCGACAGCCCACTCGTTGAAGCAGGGAATATCAACGGTCAAGGGACGACCATAGGCTTGGTTCTCATGGTTGTTGAGGCAAACGTAAGCACGGGCAAAAGAGCCGTCGGGTCCGACAAGGTCGTGGAGAAGATCCCACGCGGTGGCCTTTTGATTACGCTTGGCGGCGGCTTGAGCTTCTTGGTGCTCCTGTTGGGCGATGCGATCAGCCTCCTCTTGAGCCTTGCGTTCCTGCTCTTTCCTCTTCTTTGGCGATGAGAGGAGGTTGCGGAAAGCAGAGTGTGACTTCTTGTGATTTACAGCCTTAGCAGTAGGCGCCGCGACAACCTGGGGCACCGCTGGAGGCTGCAACTTAGTTTGCAGTGTAAGCTGGAACTCAAGGTCATCCATGACGACAAGCTCAAACTCTTGCCCGATGGGAGCAGATTGACCAAGCTCTAGCCAAGACGTTGTGACGCAGTGCAGGCCGTTGTCTAGCGTCAACTGGAAATGGGTACGCTCATGCTTTGGCAGGGGAAGGTCGAGGTCCTTAACGCCAACAACCTTGACGAAAACCAGGCCGCGCTCCTCACCTTCTTCAGGCTCGCCGTCAACTCCCTGCTCAGCAACAGAGTCTAGTCCGCCAGCGACAGCGGATTCTTGGCCAGGAAGAGGTGGCGCTGGGCCCTCGGAGGTGCGAGTACGACGACCAGATGCCGTTCGGATGCTCTTCCTACGAGGCTTACCATTCCAGGGCTCCTTTGTCCAGGCGGGCTTGCGCTCGGCGCTCGTCTTACGAGAGACAGGCTTGGCAGCTGCCTCGCTCGTCGCCTCGGTAGGAGTAGGAGGCTTCTCGTCGCTGAATTGGCGACTGCTCGCAACAACGACCTTTGTGTTTTCGCGCATCAAGTATCCTTTCTGTTCGTGGATCATGTCGTTAGCGAGACTGTGCCTATGAATAAAGCTTCCACCAGACATCTGACAAGCTGTGTCCGCGACAGCAGCAATGGATTCAGGCAATCTGGTGAGCGAGGGAATAGGAAAGAGATTTCGTACCTTTTGTGACTCAATGATGTGATCAAACTCCTTGTCCAGCCCGAAGCTGAGGTCAGTCGAATCGTCACCAAGGTTAAGGTCACCGAGCTGCAGGTCCAACATGCGGTTCTGCTTGGTTGTGATGCTCACTTGCGTATCGTCTTCGTCATGGCTCTCGTCGTCGGCGTTGCCAAGCTCGAGGCTCATTGATTGGCGCTTTGGACTGCGTTCAGGAACAGGAGGAGCATGCTGGCCACTGACCTGGCGGCGTGTAGCGGCCATGTCAATATCGTCGGGAATCAGCGATGGCCGCGTCTTCAACTTTCCACCCGCACCTCGGATGGTGGCTTCGCGTTGAGGAACTTCTGGAGCGTTCTCTTGAGGAGCCGGGGAGACAGGCATTGGGTGACGAATGACAGAATCTGGAGTACCAGGGTCCTCTGACTCCGACTGCTCCTCGTCCATGTCGGGAGCTTCAGGCGTGACAGGTCGTCGTAGGAAGTCGCGCATGGCATCTAGCTTAGGGGCTGAGTCCAATGGACTTGGTGCTGTCGCCATAGACGCCTTCAGAGGATCCAAGCTAAGGTCCACGTCCTTGCCTTCGAATGTGGAGTACATCTCGTCCTGTGGCACCTGCTTCTCTGCCGAGACAGGGGAAGAGGGAGCGGCAACGGGCGTTGATGGGCCGGAGGAGTCGATGGTGCTCTGCACAATGGACGGTTCGTCAGGTTGAGGCGAGTATTGGCTAGTATCATCTTCGTCATCTGAGTGTGGAGGCATTGGATGCCGAATGACAGAGGATTCGCGTTCGTAGTCTTCAAGCTGAGACATCGAGCTGCCATCTACATCACTTTCCTCAGTATGGTCATCTTCTGCCCTGTCTGCGTTGTGGTAACTGTAAGCGTCGACGACGCTATCGGCCTCGCTGACAGAGACTTGACGCGGATGCTCGTCGAAGTTGGAGGAGGCCTCACGTGACGGAATGGGGACATCGGGGTCCAAGTCAGCAAGGTCGCCATAGCTGCGCTCAGGACTGTACTCGGGCTCAAATGTGCTGTACTCCTCGTCATCTTCCTCTTGCTCGTCGTCCTCATCCTCGTCAAAGGTGCGGCTCTTGACACGGCGGAGGATGGATTCGCGAGAGATACGCGGAATCTTCGGCTCGTCAAGCGTTAGCTCCGACTCTGTAACGTCCACTTCTGCAACGTCAACCTCTACAGCCTTCTTCTTGTTTTGCATCTCCTGAGTTGGTGTGCTTGTATCACGATCGTCGTCGAAGTTCATCAAACGCAACCGATCCTCAAGCGACATAGACACCTCGCGCATGCTGAGAAGATCACTCTTGGAGATACCAGCTGCTTGCGGAAGCTGAGGAAGGGAGCGCCGCCTGTCGCTTACTCGCTCTGCGGCAGCGGAAAGGCCAATGCTGGAGTCGCGCCGCCGGTTGGGGCTACCTTGTATGGCGGGAAGAGGAGGAAGTGGTCTAGCATCGCTGTCAGACGCTACTGAGCCGACACGCGATCCGTTGGTCGTGCCATTTGGGCGTGCTGAAGGCATGGGACTGTTCTCACGCCCGTCAAAGACATCATCGTAGAGATCGGTCAGAGAAGTGTCTGCGGCTTGCGGACTCATGTGGCGCCAGTCCTCAGGCAGGACAACTGGAGTCTTATCGGTGTCCTCTAGTGAAGCGTCGAAGCTGTCATCCTGGTCGAAGCTCATCTCCTCTTCTGTCTCCTCCTCGGAGTCGTAGCTGCCGTCTCGTGACATTGTGGCGACCGAAGGGTCGGGTGTGACCAACTCAAACTCTGTAATTTGGGGTGGAGCTGTGTCGAAGGTCACACTCTTAGCATGACGCCGCAGTGGGCGGGGAGTCTGATGAACGAGCTCTTCGTCATCTGACATGATGGCGCTGGAGTCCCCATTGTACTGCGGCGAGTTGAAGCGACCGTTGCTGACAAGCGAAGATTTGGTCGGCGACATGCGGCCCTCAGACGGAGAAGGCTTTGATGGTGAAGCGAATGAAGATTGTGTGGGAAGCTTTGCTGGTGACGTCTTGGACGGACTCAGGATGGGGATCCGTGTTTGGCTCTCAGACCGGCTGTGGTGGTGACCTTTTGTGGGGCTCTCGTTCTCATTGCGCAGGCCCTGGAGGCCATTGCCGCCATAGGCGTTGCCCTGGATAGCGGTGCTAAGAGGGCGTCCTGCAGCGAGTGGGCGGTCGAGTGGTTGGACCGAGCTGGGATCGTACTCGTGTTTCTGCTCGCGCGCGAACATACTGCTGTTCTTGACACGTGACTGCTTCTTCAGGTTCTCAATGGAGTTGCGCTTGGGCGAGAGAGGCGAGCTGCCCTCGTACTCGTTCTCCGACGTGTCGAAGCGGCTCTTGGGCGAAGTGGTCTGCTCCTTCCAGAAGAGACGCGGGCTGTGAGTAAAAGGCGAAGAGTCGCGGAATGGCGAGCTCTCCTTGGTGAGGATAATCTTCTGGGTCAGATGTTAGCAGGCTGCAGATGGGAGTGGCGGCGGAAATGCAGTGGGGATGCAGCGGGAATGCAGGTGGAAAAGGCGGCCTCGGCACATACCTTTGTTGTCTGGTTCCAGCTGGGAGAGTTCCTGCGGTGCTCATGGGGGCTGATTTCTGACAAGGGACGGCCGCTTCCCTTTGTGGGCGAGGGAGTAGGTGTCTTGTTGATGCGCAGCGGCGACACCTGTGGCCATTGCGGTCAGCATCGCGTGGCCAACACACGAAACAGTGGAGTCAAAAAGGAAGAATAAGATGAGAAGTGATGCTTACCGCTTCATTGCGCGACATGATGGCTGGTGTTGAGCACGCTCGTGCTGGCGAAGGCGGACTGTTGTTGACGGACACAGTGCGGGTGTTTGCGTGCAGCGGGCAGTCGAGTCGTGTTGCTGAAGAAGAATGGGCTCCCTCGAGGAGTCGTGTCGAGTCAGCGAACTAAGGGATGCGCGCTGATTAAAGAAATGGCAGAGAAGTGAAGGACACCGACAGAGCGCTTGGGCAGATGTGCGATGGAGAAGCGGAGGAGGAAGTGTGGGTGCTTTACTATGATATGGTTGGGGCCGCTGGTGCTATCAAGTGTTGATAGCCGGGATGTAGGCAAGGCGTCGGTGTTGCGTGCAGTTGCTCCGGTAACGTGCCGCTTATCGCGTCTTAGCGCCTGAAATTATCTGCACGATCGCCTGTGCAGTGCGGACGTCAGGTCGGATCCCTTTAGTCAAGGTTTAGTGTAGCCAGAGCATGCTAGTCTAGTCTGACTTCTTCATTTAATTCTGCCTGTACTTGCAACCAAGTAGCCATGTTGCGGAGAGTTTGCCCGTTTTGCGAAGTGCGCGCCCTCTTGAAACTGCCACCCCCCCAGCAGACTCGCCTATATACCCAGGTCCAGCGCGAGAGAGGGGAACGTCATGGTGCTTCTTCCTCACGCCCACCAAGGCCCTCCTCGGGCTTCAGAGGGCGCGACAATCCCCGGCCCTCGCGCATGGTTCTCGCAGACGATGTCGCGCGAACAGCAGACAGAGCGCCGACGAGGAAGCCAGACGCCTTCGACTTCCTAAACCGGACCGACGTGCCACGGGGACTGGAACGGATACGAGAGCAGAGAGAAGCACGTGGCAGCCGGGCGGCGACAGGACGGGATGACGGCAAGAGGAGGACGCGGTCGGAGCCTTTCCATGCCCTGAAGATGCAGAGTTCGCTGCACCAGGTGCCCTACAACAACCGCACCGCCGTCAAGCGACAGCTCGAACAATACGACTCGTTCGACAAGTTCCCCCTCGCCGAACCTACACTACGCGCCGTGAACGATGCACTGCCCGGCCTCGAATACCGCAATCCAACCCCCGCACAAGCCGTCGCTATACCCGCCCTCCTCGGCCTGCAAAAGGCTGTGCGCGCAAAAGTAAAGACCAAGAAGAGTGGGCCAGACTCCTTCCTACTGGCAGCTGAGACAGGCTCGGGAAAGACACTGGCATACCTTCTTCCTACTCTGGATGCCATCAAACAAGAGGAAGTCCGCGAGAAAGAAGATGCCGAGGAGCAGGCTAAGAGAGATGCTGAAGAGGCGGCACTCAAAGAACACGACAGGAGGACAGACATGTTTGCCGTCGAGGAGCCAGAGACAAACAAGGCAGTAGACCCAGCACGACCGCGCGCAATCATCCTCGTCCCCTCCGCCGAACTCGTTGCTCAAGTCGGAGCCGTCGCAAAGAGGCTCTCCCACACCATCAAGTTTCGCGCTGCTCCAATCTCAGCCAAGATGTCTGCCACAGTCATCCGCAATCAGCTCTTCAACCCCAATGGTGTCGATGTCGTCATCAGCACACCACCTCTCCTCGCCAGCATCGCTGAAAGCAACCCCAACATCCTTGCCCGGGTTACCCACCTCATCTGCGACGAAGCAGACTCGCTCTTCGACCGCTCCTTCAAGGAAAGCACAACCGAGATCCTCGAACGCGCTACCCCCTCGCTCAAAAAGCTCGTCCTCTGCTCCGCCACCATTCCAAAGTACCTTGACAAGTACCTTGCCGACCGATTCCCCGACATGCAGCGTCTCGTCACACCCAACCTCCACGCCATCCCACGAAGGGTACAGCTAGGTGTCGTTGATGTGAACAAGGACCCGTATCGAGGCAATAAGATGCTCGCCTGCGCAGACACAGTCTGGCAGATTGGCAAGGCATCCGCCGACTTCGACCCCAACGAAGGCAAGGAAGTTATACCCACGAAGCGTGTCTTAGTCTTCGTCAACGAACGCGAAGACACTGAAGAAGTAGCACAATACCTTGTCAAGAAGGGTATCGATGCTCACGCCTTCCACCGGGACACTGATCCCACTCGTCAGGCCAATATCCTCAAGTCCTTCACAAACGATGCATCCACCAAGGAAACTGCAGAAAACCAAGAGAAGAAGACTGAGCCGGCGAACAAGCGCATCCTACCCAACACAAAGGTCATTGTTACAACCGACTTGGGCTCAAGAGGTATCGACACCGTCTCCGTTCGCCATGTCATTCTTTATGATGTCCCACATACCACGATCGATTTCATTCACCGTCTTGGTCGAACGGGTCGTATGGGCAGGCGAGGAAGGGGTATCGTGTTGCTTGGTCCGGGTGATCGGGCAGATGTCGTCAGGGAAGTCAGGGAAGCCATGTTTAGAGGTGAAGCTCTGATCTAAGCATTCGCAAGAACGTGTTATGACCAAAAGTATTCATGTACTATATATTGTTTCAACCTTTCGGCGTAGTGAGAAGCCCCGCTTACGACCATCTCATGATGATGAGGATAATGAATGTACAAATCCCCCTTGACAATGTTGGTTTCCATCCATACCAAAGAGACAACTGACATCCAATCCACACACACACCAGTCAGGATTTCCTTGTTTTCTGCAGTATCTGAATCGCGATCCTCAAATTTTGGTTCTGGTTAGTGCCGGCAGTGGAGACTGACTCAACAACCGTTAACCAAAAACACACGGGCCTCCATCGTATTTCACAAGCGCTGATGCTGAAACTGTAATAACTTGGAATTCGTCGTTGTAATCGGTACCTCGGCGCTGTTATAACCCACTGTGGCGCCCCCAACCCCCGCTCGGAGGCGATCCCGATGAGGCTGTCTAACCTTGTAATCGATTGTTTACATGCGCTAAGTGCTGCCGCTGCGGGGTTCATCGTTGCAAGTGGGCTGTGTTATGTTGTTGTGGTCTTTTTGCTATTGCGCAGCCCGGCTGGCTGCACGCCACTTCAGCCGGTGTGTGTTTGTTGATTGTTGCTTTTTGTTGATAGCAAGTCACCTGCATCGTACACCACCCTCCTGCATATGCACTATGGGTTGATCACAATCCCTTGTTTGAGCACAACAGTTCTTGCGTGTTGGTTGCTTCCTATCCACGGCTTGGATTGAGGATAAACAACCAGAAACCAAAAAGTACAGACAAGATTCTATGAAAAGCACGTCAATTGGAGATCTATAATACAGACACTGTAAGGAAGTTACCATAGATTGTTCAAAGCCATATACTACTCGCCCCGCAGTTCCAGGTATGAATATTCCAATCGATTGGGGAAATGTGCCCTGCAGACCAAGCACGCAAGCAAGATGAGAAAAGAATGAAAATTGTAAACACCACCAGCTTTTGCCCATCATACATCTCATCTGCACTCGTCTTACCACAGTCTGTCCGATCACGCGCGCACTTCAAAGGTTACGTGCTCCGCAGATGCTAGTCTTTTCCACTACCACTTCCAAGGTGTCTGCCCCTAGACCACACGCATTAAACTTACCCTTCCAACAACCATCATTCCCACCGTCCAGCTCCCTCGATTGAAGTTCACACAACTTTGTATCCAGCTCCTTCAAGTTCTTTTCCTGAAATACCCTGCTAAACTCGTCTATCGGCTCTCTCTCGTGGCTGAGCTCGATTTGTAGAGCGCGAGCCGCGCGATTAGCGGCATCGAGAGTAGTGTATATCTCGGGACGGCTGTGGGACTGATACACCCGAACTGGCTCACATGCTGGAGAATCGCTATCTTCCGAGTCGGAAGCATCTGAACCTTCGTTATCGGCTTGCTCAGCAAGATTGAATAAGCGCAGGATGTAGCAGGTGCTTGAGATGAATGATGTCGCCCTCAGTGTTTGTGGCGTCTGGTTAGCGAATTTAGAAACAATGTCGCGCTGGACCCAGATCTTGAAATAAATCTTCTTTATGGGGTTATCAAAAGGTGTGGCGGAGCCAGTGAGAATTGAGCATCCATATTCATCGCGCGCGGTGCGGCTTTCGAAAAGGGGGTCGAAGGAGTGCGCAAAGCCGTTTTGAAATGTCTTTTCAGCCTGTGTATTTGCCTCAACGATACTGGTGAAGGGCTGTACGGTCGTTTCGGTGGCCGCGACGCTTTCTTCAATTTGCTCGCTTGACCACACCTTTTGGAAGACAGAATACTCGAAGTAGGGTTGCGCCTCCTTGGACACTTGAGGTGAACAAGATAAAAGTAGGACGTCTTCTTCGGAGTCCGTTGCGACTCCCAAAGAAGGTAGGCTACAAACAGGAGCGGTTACGGATGGTGTCAAAGCGATCTTGGGTGCATTTGGGATCATATGCTTAGGCGACTCCGAACTCAAGGTCGTCAGGGGGAAACCGTCCGTGGTTTCTATAGGCTTTTGGGATTGTCTTGGAGGGTCATGATCATTAGCAGCCCTGGGCATTGAAACTCTGCCAGCACTCATCGTGTCACGCTGAGCGACTATTGCTGTGACTCCACCACTGTCGAAGTCCATCTCTATATCGCTTGTCGGTCTCTCTCTAGAGTGCATTGCACCATCCTCAATAGTTTGAGTTGATACGGGCAAGCCTGCTTCTAGAACTGCAGATTCTGTCAGATCAGTCAATTGAGACTCGTTCGAAGGAACCGGTTCTGGCATAGTCATCGACGAACTGGATAGAGAATCTTCTCTTGTAGCTGAGAGTATAGGCTCAGCGGGCAAGACTGGATGTGCCTTCGCAGGCGAGCTTGCAGAGATAGACCCATACTGTTCACGGATGCCTATACCTGGTTCAGCAGATTGCCTCATCTTCTTTGAACGGACATTCACCGAAAGGCTTAGTGCCTTCTCAGGATAAGGTGTAACTGCCATTTGGCGTGTTTCGTCTGTGGAATACGGCCCTTGGATAGCACCACAAGGTTCTTTCGCGGCCAGTTGTTCCAAGGAAGCGTTGATCTCTGATGAAGATTTGACAACTCTGTTGGAAGCATTGTTATGCTGAGCAGGCGTTGCAGTATCAGGAGCCACAGAAGCATGCCTGGTAGATTTCGAAGGCTTACTCAAGTTGGAGTTTGTAGAAACAGCCGCAAAGTCCTCAGGTCGGTCGAACGATTTCGCTTGCGAAAGCAATTTCATCTCAGATATCCTCGACTTCTCGACGGGGTTATTGGTTGCGGCCTTCTTCGCAGTAGCTTCTGCGGGTGTCTTGCGTACAATCGCTTTCGGGGCTGCGGATGAGCGAGAACTGGCGTCAACTTCCGATACTGCCTGTATAGTTTCGGGTCGCTTCAATTGAGGTTCAAGGGCTGAACTAGGCTTCTTGCGTGCGGCGGTAGAGGCGCGATTAGGACCGCTGGAGATACTGTCAAGCTTTCGCTTCCGGACTGGCCGTCTGGTTGTAGATGATGCAGGTTTCGAGGATGATGCGTTTGCCTTTGATATACCTGGTGTGAACTTCCTGGGGCATGTATCGGGCATTTGTGTATGGCATTCTTCTCGTTGCGCAGCTGAGTCTTCCGATGCCTTCGGGCTCGGTGATGTTGATGAAGAACACTGCTTGGATTTCGCATTGGCTGCCATTATATCGTGCTTCTCAATGCACAACTGAGGTGTAGTTACAGATTTGCCAGCCGACGTTATTGAGATCAGATTTCCTCTAGCTATGTTTTGTTCGTATTGATCGCTGACTTGAGGCTGCGCACCTGGCGTCCTACCCATGGTACCCATTTTAGCCTCGTCTAACGTCAATTGGAGAAGACTTCTGGGCTGTGTAGGTAGAGAGGTCTTATTGTCTGGCATGCCATTCTTGCACTCCCGAGCAATGTTCGTGCCCGGTACTAACTTGCGCTGTCTGGACAGTGGGCTGGAGGATAGACCTGTGGCAGCAGTAGTCGGAGGAGTAGAAACTGAACTGGTCTGCAGCGACGTCCTGCCAGTAACAACAGCATTGGTTGGTGGAATCTTTCGGGGGATTGAAGACACGTTACCATCAGTCTTGGTCATCGATGAACCTACAACCATGGCCTGCTGGCCAAGGATTTTCACCTCCTTCATTGTACCAGCCGTGGCAGAGCACTTAGCACGGTCCGAATTGAGGTTAACAGCTGACTGCGAAGGCGCTGACTGCTGCAGCCCAGGTGATGCGGTGAGATGCGAGTTCCAGGTCGAAAAGGCTGGGGTTGTCGTGATAGGTGATTGTGTATGGACAAGTAATTGCTCTTGTCTGGAAGTAGTCGATGCATCTTTCACTCTTCCCAAAAGCTTGTTGAGACGGCTCTTGTTGAGCTGCTTGGTTGGCAGAGGCTTTGCACTGAGATCCTTTTTGGACTTGGCCTGGATAGAGTGTGGCGGCTCCAATGCATAGGATTTTTGTCGGGTGGACGATCTCGACTGGTTGTTATTGCCATCATGACCCTTTAGGTCACTCTCCTCATCATCACTCTCGCTGTCCATGACAAAACCACCCTTTGTATTTATTCTTCTCTTCGCAATCATGTCCTTCGTCTTACGGGTTTGGTCAGCAAGCTTGCTAGGGGAAGCGAGGTGTGGAATAGTGTTCACATCTGGGTCTTGCAGTCGCTTGCTTCTTGCCAATGTGGTTCGTGAAGAGCGGACCTGATGAGATGGAGGACAGATGACCTCGGACTCACTACTGTCACTTGCAACAAGCTCAGAAGACTTATAGGCAATGGTCTTCTTGGGTCGGCCTTTCTTAGCGCCTCGTATCAAGTTTGTCTCTAGTTCGTCCTCCTCGCTTGTTGAATATCCAGCGAGTTGTCCTAATGATTGGGTATACTGTGTGGGTCTTGGCTTAATCGTGGAGATTGACGGTGGAACGGGTCTTGGTGGGACTGGTCTCGTGTAGAGAAACTTATGAGGCTTATCGCCTGACGGGTAATTGCGGTAATTGGCTGGGCAACTGGAAGTATCGTCGAACCAGGTGAGAGACCTACCTGTAAGAGACATGTTGCGAGAAAGGTCTTGCTCGTCGTGGCTTGTCTGTCGCCCAAGCGGTGATAACTTTAGTTCAAGCTTCGAGACCTCAGAGCCGAAAAGACTTGAAAGGAATGGATCAGGTATACGGGAAGTACACGATTGAGCAACATGGACATGTTCCTGGGTGCAATACAAGGTACGACCGCGGGCTGTCGGGCCGGAGAAGCCCGTAGTTTCAGCATCATTGCTGTCATTTCCAAACGCACTGGTAGAACTGGTAGGCTTCTCAACAGGCGGTGGAGTATAGAACAGCGGAGACTCCTCTCGCTCCCCGGTTTGGCAGCCTTTTCCGCGGCAACTTCCCATGATCGCACAACACACAGGCGGAACAACCCGATAAGATTGCTCACTGCAGAAGAATTGCTGGTCTTCGTGGGAGAGCTTGAGGCATATTCTCGCTCTGATTTCCCGATGTATGCCCAACAAACGCCGGCGCGCTACGTCACCGTACTGTTAGGTAATGCTTGGCATATTTTCTGTGTCGCACAGGCGGGTATGGATCGAATCAAGGCAATCGAGCTACTCAAGCTGATCCAATGAGTAGCAACGAAAACGTAGTCATGCCTTCTCATACACATATCGCATGTCAATGATACCGCCAAGATGTAGCAGCTTTCGTGGATGCAAACGTGATGGACGTTATGCCTCTGAGCCCCATATGGTGCTAGGTCTGTTGGTAGTTTTGGTGTCCTTTGCCATTCTGCATAACGCGAGTGAGCTCATTTCGAGTGAACTATACCAATTACAAAAATGCGTCCTGAAGGCATAAACTAACGCTTTCTTGTCAAGGTTGCGACATAAAATTTTACAGATACCTTCAGAGTGGCCTTTAGCATATGCGGTACAACTAGGAGAAAACGAGCTTGTTCGCAGAGTCAAGACGCGTGCTCAATGACGAAATTGAGACAGGCCAGACGACAGCAATTTGAACGTATGTTGGCGAAACGTTAGGATCATCCGAGGGACGAAGAGCTTATCGGGAAGGAGCCTGTAGAAGTGTCTTCGGAGGCTGTTCGAGGGAAATAATTTTTGCTTGGGATGGTTCGGTAGATATGCGATGTCATGAAGCGCGTATCCGACGCGTATTAACGCGCTATGCATAAGACTAGAGAATAGCCATTGAAGCCAAGTTGTGTACAAACAATCACAGAGGACCAGGTAATCTTAGCGGGTGGTGGATGAGCGCGATGTCTAAGGCCTTTTGGTAGGCGTGGCTAGGTCTTAGATCTTCGTCGCGTCGTGGTGTGGTTGAGGATTGGGGCACGACGTCACGCGGAAACGGATTTGCGGCTTACTCAGCTGGTGGGTCCACCTCGCGAATCTCAAGCCCCTCGCCTCTCTGACCTACTAAGGAGAATTGTTGGCGCCCGTGCGAGATTGATTCATCTTCAAAATTATGGCAGAAGAAAACGCGCCTACTTCTGATGTCCCTGTCTCTGACAAGGCATTGCGGGAATTAGCCAAGAATGTGGCGAAGAAATTGCCCAACTTCGCAGAGAAAGAGCCGGCAACTGCTCTGAAGTAAGGACGCAAAGTCCGTGAGCGTTGCTTTGCCGATACTGAACCCCACTAACATCTGACTAGAGAACTCCATACTATTCTCGCTCCCGTTTTGGAGACTGCAGATATAGCAGATCTAGAGAACAGCCATCGCGCAGCCGCATCGAATGCTTTGTGTGGAATTATTGAGTATTGTGCGGCTTCCGACAGTGCGTATGCACGAGAGGCGATCCTGGATGATTCGGTATGGATGAGAACCTTCAACATCTACCTCCAGCGCTCTGGAGATGCAAAGGGCAAATCGATGAGGCAGATGCTTTTGGTCCTCACAAGTGTCATTACCAAAGATCAGAGCCTGCATGCGAATGAACTTCGGAGAAGAGCTACCTCTTCTTTCCTGGACATCATATGTGAGCGCGAGGATCGCATCAAAGTCAAACCAGCTTTGCAAGGCCTTGCCCATTTCCTGCTTCGGGATGTCATCTCCATCACGGAATTGATTGGATTGTTTGATGTGCAGCTAAAGCGGACGTCGGATACAGTCCAGGATGCCGTGACTTCGAGGACAGTGTTCAAATCTTTCCTTGCTTGGGTTGTTCACCACGACACCGCTCTTTCGGCGGGCCATTTGATCAAGAACTACCTACTTCAGGCCCGACGTCTTGCCGATTACGACGAAAGAGGCAATGACGGCTCCATATCACCATTCTGGATAGAGCCGGTGGTACAGACATTACAAGATTGGCCGGATCGCATTCAGGAGTTCAGAACTCACGTCTTCCCTCATTGCTTTCTACCTAATCTTTCGGAGTACTTGAAATTTCTCGCATATCTCCATTTTGAGTCACATGTTCCACACGAAAATGCGCTGCCCAGTCAGCTGTATCAAGCTGGCGGTCACACGTCGTCCCTCGGAGAGATGGAAGAGTTCAGGATATTGTTGGCAGCAATCGCCACAGGAAAAGAACTCAATATAGTGAAGGACAATGGTAAGTTCTCACCAACGTGGCGCAAGATTAGTCACTGATCTTCATACCAGATTATAGAGTTCAAAGTGATATCGAGATCCGCGATGGAGCGCTATATCTGCCCGATAACGTCCCTGGTGCCTGGATGGCGGATCCGCATCCTGAAGTCAGACTTGCAGGCATGTTTCTTTGCGTATACTCCACTTCTGTTACGAGAGCTATTAGTGGTGGCATCCTACAGGCTCTCAGGCGCAACCTCTTCCATCTGCATACAGATACGGATGCGAACTTTCGCCGGGAAGTTCACGGCTATACACAGAAGCTCTTCGATCGTCTCAGAGCTAGTACGGCGACTCTTGCAAAGTCAAGATTTAAGGGTGGTGCATCTAGCCAAACACGCCTCCCTTTTCCAAAGACGAGCTCTGGTTCCCATGGTTCGATAGCCCGACATGGGGAACAGGACCCGCTCTTTGAGTCTCTGGCTTTCATCGCTTGGTATATCCAGTTTCTTGAGTGGGAGCTACGCCCGACTGCATCTTATCAGAGCCGCATCACTGCATTACGTTCGATCACCATCGTACTGCGCTCTGGGATAGACCCGGGCGTCCCGTTCACCAGTCTTTCCAAATCTGCACAAGGGCAGCTCAACTGGACTCATGAACTTCGGATCGGGAACACGAAACTTTGCCGGTCGCTGCTTGACCTGATTTTAGATCCTTTCGACGATGTCCGTGACGCAGCTGTATCAGTCTTGCAGCTATGTCTAGTTGCTCTCCCTCGGACTGATCAAGAACGTACCCTGTCGATGATTCCTCGCTTTCTTGCAAGAGCGGAAGCTACAATGCTTCGAACAGGCCGAGCAGATCAAGCAGATGGCGTTGCTCGTGCTTATGGAATGGTCTTTGCTTTGGCCAGCGATGAGTCAAACATCTTCGCTGGCTCACACTTTTCTTCGAAACAGAGTTTGTTCGAACATTTGAAAACACAGCTACAGGACACCTTGAACCTGGCCCACGCAGATCTTTCAAAGGCCGTTGACGGTCGACCTGTACATGGCACTTTTGCTGCGCTACGCTATGTAGTTGACCAGCCCGGCTTCTACTCTATCGTATCCAGCTTACCACCGGAGGTATTTGCCATCTGGAAGAGGTCTCACGGCGAAATTGTAGCAAGTATTGAGAGTCTCTGGTCTTGCGTCTACCACGTCCTGTGTGCAGATGCACCGGAAGGCCATGTCCCCGATGAGTTGGAAGATGAGAACAGTCTAGACACCAAAGAGATTCTAAGCTACTCATGGAGGGGACTGAAGGAGGCCAGGTGACCAAACCCCTACTATACTCTCGATTTCGCTAACTGCTACAGTGTTTTGCTACGAACTGTTATTCTTAAAGCTCCTGTAGGCGATGGGGACGGTGACCTTGTCACCCCGGAGCTTTTTGAAAAGCTAGGCAGACTCTGCTTTACACAGCTACTTGAGCTTCGTCACCGCGGTGCATTTTCGACAGTGTCGCAAACATTTGCTGTGTTCTGCCGCCGTTGTGTCACCTCGAGTATACCCTCGATACGTGCGCTGCCTGAAATGTGGTACCAGGTTCGTGCACAAATACTCCAGCGTGCGTGTTGGAACTGACGTTCTGTAGGAAACCCTCCGATCTATTCAAGCGAAGTCAGATGCCATTACTAGGAGGTCCGCGGGCATACCGGCAGCCATGTCCGCATTACTAGCAGCAGAACCCCAAGCAGGAGGCAAGCTCTTCCCACGAGCCATAAAGGATCTTGTAGCCGAGACTTTGGTGGAAGCGCAGAGTACCAATATCGAGGAAAGCCGTCTTCCTCAAGTGCATGCCCTTAATTGCATCAAGGAGATATTCACAACCTCCAAGCTAAGTGTTGCATCTGAGGCATATATCGGACAAGGTCTCGAGCTTGCTGCTAAAACCTTGAATTCGTCTATGTAAAGACCACAAATAGATGACTGACTAGATCTGAACTGACTCCTTTTTAGATGGCCACTCCGCAACTGTAGTTTGATGCTGTTCAAAGCTCTGATTGAACGACTGCTCGGCAGCGACGAAGCACAGGACTGGAAAGAGCGGGAACGAGCCAAGACTTCGCGCTTCTCCTATGATAACTATCCCAGCCTCGTGAAAATCTTGATAGAGCTGCTTGAGCCAAGTAGCGATGTCAAGATTATGGAGACGCCTGAGGCTGGTAGCTCACCGATGGACCTCCATGGTGCCGAGGGCGTATTTCCTGCCCTTCAGATCTTGCGCCAAGCCCGACCACCGGGAGATCTCACCAAGATTCGGAGCTTGGTGAGAGACTTACTCCCAAGCCCGCATTGGCATATGCGGGACATGGCAGCCAGAACGTATGTATCACTACATACTACAAACGAACATCACGAGAAGCTCTCTTCCATATTAGATACCGTCCCCAGCGACCATAATGGGCAACACGGAAGACTTCTAGTGGTGATGTATCTGCTGAGGAAATTGTTGCGAGATGAAACTCAATGTAGTAAGTGCTTCGAGAAGCAGTAAGTTGAATGGCCAGTTGCTGACTACCTGTAGCCCTACAGCACTTTGCAGCCTTGATGGAGCAGCTTGGACAACATGCAACGAGTTGGTACATGACGAGTGATTGTCCTTTCGTTCGAACCGCCTTTCTTGATGTTGTGAGCATCTGCGGCAAGGCTATGCTCCAGAGGGCAAACACTATCTCAATAATCGATGCATGGAAAGACCTCACTACATCTATAGCGATCGGACCCGAGTACGAAATTGGGCCCAGCGACCGCCACGGCGATGCCTTGCTTCGGACTTCTCTTGCACAAGTATACATGATTGATCGTGTAATACTGCGCAACGATTCCCTTCAGATCATGGTTTCAGATGATTATCAGACCATCGGCGATGCACTTATGCTCCTCGCAAACGAAGATCCGGATACCTGCCTGGAGGCACTGGAAACACTAGACACTATACTGCAGATGAAAGCGTCTCACGATCTGACCGTTCCGCTCTCTCTAGTCTTAGCACATATCCACCGTGTGGTCTTGGAAGCCACGGATCCAGAAGTGATCTCGAAGTCGCAAGCCGTGCTAGCCGATGCTCTTGCGAACAACAACCTGAAGAGTGAATTCTTTAGCCTAGTCAACGAAGACCAGACCATGATCACTCTAAACAAGCTGCAATTACAGTGCATCCAAGGCCCACCATCGAACATGCAAAGCGCTGTACATCTGCTAGGTTCCTTCCTCGATCACTCATATCATACGTACCCACTTCGCCGTGCCGAGATCCTAGCAGCTATTGCGCGGTACATTCGCCTTCTACGCATGACAATTGTCGACACAAACCCCTTCGATACGCGTTTCGCTGCTATACAGTCCCTCTCCACATTAGGATCGGTCTTCACCTTGGCTCCGAGTGAAAAAGCAACAGGGTCACTGGTCCTAGGTCTGGCTATCGTCCTCTACGATCTCCTCAACGATGATGATGACGAAATTCGCGATCTGGCTGCCTCTACAACGGGTTCATTCTTGCGTTTACAAGGTAAAGACACCTTCAAGGATACGGTGCCGATATCGACGACGCACCGGCTTGCGGCTTACCTGATCACTGCGTTCTCGACATCGCAGTACTTAGCTACAGAAGCGATACGACGTCTGACAAATACACACTCGCCCACACTCCCCTTCTATATACCCTTTGCCGAAACCTTTGCTCAGGAGAGGAAAGAAGATACCTCGCTCTTTGCGCAAGAGAAGCAGAATCTGTACAAGGACGATACTCTAGATACGATTCTTTGGTCTCGTATCCTCTGCTCCTTGTCTTCTTCAGCTACTCCTGAGAGTCTACGCATTGGCTTGACCACCTGGGTACTAGATGGCCTGACCACACTTATGCAGACGGCGGAGAAAGAAGGTGATGGTGCACTAGGATGGAGTACAAAAGCTGAGGTTTTCACACTAGGAATGCGGATTTTCTGTGCGAGCGAGGTAGTGGTGAGGTGGGGCGGTGGGGAGAAAGTAGAGGTAGTGAAGATGCTGAGTAGATTTTCAGAAGTGGGCACTGAGCGAGGTATCCACGGCTTGTGGATTGAGAGGGTTCAGGGGTTGTTGAGCAGAGAAGTGAAGAGGATGCTGAGGAGAGCCAAGGCAGGCTTGCTGGATATTGGATTCTGAGTCAGCAAACTGTGGTTGGTGATTCAACACGCCAATTCAGACAAGAAAAGTGTTATTTTTATCGAAGAAGATCATGTGAACATCCACAAACACAATCCCATCAGAGACAAGCACAAAAAGAATAATACTCTATCGCCGATAGAACATATTAACAGCACTCTCCCCCACACTCTTACTTACGCTTCCGTATTTCGCCTGCCAAGCAAAGAAATAAAGCAACGCAGCAAGTGGCTGTCCAACTAAGCAAAAGCTCATCCAAAAGATCATGTTACCCGCAACCTTGCCTTGGATGCACTTGACCTTTTGAATTACGTCGGTAAGTGCAATAAGCGGGATTTGGAACATCATGCCAGCAAATGCGACACCAATGACGTTGTGGGTGGGAACGCCGACGAGAAGTTCGTGTAAGATACCCGAGAAGAGAAAGACGAGGATCTGGGCTACTGCGGGAGGCACACCGCGGCCAACAAGGGGCGAGTAGATGTGGCGACGCATGAAGTTTGTTACGGGCTTATTCCAAGTCGTCCAGTATGTACGGATGGAAGACACGTTCCACCAGTCGCCGTAAAATTCTCGGTCACCGAAACGCATTACTTCTGCGAGGGCATTAAGGGCGGATTGGAAGAGGGCGAAGAAGCCACAGAGCCAGCAGAAGACGCTGATGGTGGACAGCTTCATGACGCGTTCGGCAATGGATGTGAAGTTCAAGGTAAGGATCTTGTCGAGCGAGTTCTGTAGCAGGGGCGCAGCGTATTGGGCAGATGCGATCCAGATGACAATGCTAAGACCTGCGAGCTCGGCGAGGCGCTTAAGGACGAAGTCCCAGCGAATCTTATCGGTTCGAGGATAGACGGGTTGGTAGACAAGGGTTGGTGCCCACCAGAAGTAGCATAGGTTCTTCATGTTGATGTTTTGCGGGTATGGACATGCTTTGTATAGTTCCGGTAGGGGATCGGCTTGCTTGGGGTGCAGGTAGGCATGGCGAAGATCGCGGTTTGTGAGCGCGGACGAAGCGCACTTGAGGAAGACGATGACGGCGTGAAATTCGCAGAGCGTGCCAATACCGGGGTGGTATATGTCGTAATAGACGTACTTGGTCGCAATATAGAGATTTGCGACTGCGTTGATGCTATGGAAGAAGGCTACGATATACCATGTTGAGTTGAAGCTGCGAAGTGCAGCGGCGTATTTGGCGGGCGTGTCTTCGTCACGTTCGTGCGATATACGGGCGTAGGCTCGGTTGGCCTGCCAGGCCGCGGCAAGTTCGATGAGGTAGGTTACGAAGAGGTGCGCAGGGACGAGGAGGTATAGGAGCAACCCGGTGATGACGTCGGAGCGGCGGTAGTCGTGGCATGATAGGCAGATGAGGACACCATACTTCTGCAGGTTCACAATCATCAATCGCAAGTTGGAGACAACTGTGCTCGTTAGCCATTTGCGGCTATCCTCGGTAGTAAGGAGTGCATACTGAGAACCAGGATCATAAGATTCCTGAAGCCGATGAAGCTGGGAACCTTATCTGCATCTTGGCTGAGACATGAGGTACGGGAAGACGAGTGCGTTGCAAAGACATGACGGTATTTGGTGTCACGAGCACGCTTGGTCGTGCCGTTGGTCGTGCCATTGGCTTTGGATTCGCTGGCCGCCTTTCCGCGGTACAAGGGGGAACTGGCCTGCTGCATGTCGAGAGCAGAGGAGGCTGCCATTTGGGTAAGAGTCGCCATGGTCGAGCGTTGAGACGGATTGGGAAGTGGGTGCAGATTACCCCAGAGCGCAATGGCTCATGCGAAAGTAATTAAAGATCTCAGGGTGGAAGCGAGGAGTAGGAGTGATGCTCGTATGCGGCGATTGGGACGACGGAAACAGGCTCACTTGGCCGTGGCTCTCGGCGGAAGCGATGGATTTGTACTCGGGATAAGCGCGCCATGACCGAGGGTTTTGGCAGCAATGGCGACAGAGTTATCAGCGCATTTCTGCATTCTGTTGGGAGTCTGGTGAGCGGGGATCTGCACGGTGATGCACGCCGACCCATCTTAGGCCGTGGCGTGTGAATGTGGCTGATGATGCGAACACTGTGGCTTTGACGCTAGGCCGAGCTATCGCGGAGGTTCAACGCGACAAAGGACGCGCTGCACCGTACGTCAACCTTGCGCATCGCCATCGATCACGCCCTCGCCGTCACCACCCCGCAATCCGATCGGTCCTTCCATGTTGGTTGAGTAAGAGTAGTACACGGCAAGAACAGCCGCAATGGAGCGTGAATACCATCGCCCAGACTTTGAGGGAGGGCTGCGACCTCGACCGAAGCGTGAGTATATCTGTTCAGATTCCAACATCTGACGCTGACTCTATAATCTACAGGAGCGGTGACCGACTATGGCTCAACGACAGTGCAATGGTTGCGCAATCGGCGCCCGCGATACAAGAATGCTCCCATGGCGGAGATGGAACGGCCAAGTGCAAGTTATATTGTTGACATGCAGCCTCCAGCAGCACGCGTCGCCAGCGCAGCCGAGTCGATACCAGCCAAAGCCGTGCATTCTTCCCTGAACAAAGTCAAACACCCCATAAACGTGGTCAAATGGACCCCAGAAGGTCGGCGACTGCTCACCGGCTCAACCAGCGGCGAGTTCACTCTGTGGAACGGAATGGGCTTCAACTTCGAAACTATCATGCAGGCTCACGAGGCTGCAATTCGAGCTGTCGAATACACGTCCACCGACGACTGGCTCTTATCAGCAGATCAGACAGGTGTCGTCAAGTACTGGCAGACAAACTTCAACAACGTCAAAGAGATACAAGCTCACACGGAAGCGGTACGAGGGCTCTCCATTGCACCCACAGACACCAAGTTCGTGACATGCGCCGATGACACCACACTGAAGATCTGGGATTTTGCGTCGAGCACAGAAGAGTCGACGTTGACAGGACATGGATGGGAAGTCAAGTCGGTTGACTGGCATCCGCACAAGGGACTGCTAGTATCAGGGTCAAAGGATCACCAAGTTAAGTTCTGGGATCCGCGGACAGGGCGCTGTCTTACGACGCTTCATGGACATAAAAACCCAATATCAAAAACCATGTTCGAGCCCGTCCAAGGAAACATGCTAGCAACATGCGCCCGTGATCACACAGCCCGCATCTTTGATCTTCGAATGATGCGCGATGTCTTGCTGCTGAAGGGACACGAGAAGGACATTATTACAATGGCCTGGCACCCGATGCACAAGAACCTGCTGTCCACCGGTGGTGTCGATGGCAGCATACACCACTATCTCCTCGACGAGCAAAACCCTCCTACTGGTGTCGCACCGTCGATATCGCCTTACGACGCTGCCGATTCACAAAACGCGCCCTCACAAACTATATATCCCGCTCATAGCCTGCAATACGCCCACGACTTCACAGTCTGGACAATGGATTGGCATCCACTGGGCCACATCCTTGCATCCGGTTCCAACGACAGGGTTACGCGTTTCTGGACACGGCCGCGGCCAGGCGACACAAACTACATCAACGACCGCTACCATATTGGTCAAGCTGCGGCAGAGGCACAAGGTACGTTCGACCGTGGCCAGGGCAGGCGGCAGAAGATGGAAGAAGAAGAGCAGGAAGCCGAGGACGAGGCCGAAGGCCTAGTCGATCAGAAGATGCCGTCAAAGAACCCCGCTGGTGGTTTCCTGCCTCCTGGTCTCTCGTTACCAGGACTCAATGCAGCGCCAGACGGTACATCCAGTTCTCTACCCGGTATTGGCGGAGCAAATCATCCTCCAGTACCTCCTCCACCAGGTAACATGCCATTCCCACCGCCTAACGGAGGGGGCCCGCCTATGCCTCCTCTCAATGGTATGGACCCCTCTCGCCTTGCACAACTTATCGCGTCAGGCTCCTTACCGCCACCTCCCATACCTCACGGTCACGGTCCTCCACCACCAAACGCTAACGGTCCTCCTCCACCCTTTCCACCAAACTTTCCCGGCTTCCCACAAGGCATGCCACCCGGTATGCCACCTTTTCCCCCAGGCATGCCACCTCCAGGCTTCCCAGGCTTCCCTCCTCCGCCTGGTGGTATGGCTGCTCCGCCACCAGGATGGCCGGGCCCTCCTCCACCGCCACAACAGCAACAAGGAGGACCGATGAGTATCGGCGCAGATGGTATTAGGAGAAGAGCGCCGTTGCCGGATCAGCAAGATGCTTTGAAAGCAGAGATGAATCAGGGCCGATACAGGAAAGCGAGGTAGATTTTTGTCATGGGTTGTTGGCATAGAGATGTACGATCAAGTTGCGTTGAAAGTCGACGAGCGTTGGCGTTACGACATGGTACGGGACTCCAGCAAGAAAAGGCGTAATAGTAGTATCCTTTCAATCGTCAACAATACCCAAATCTGTTCGTACAAGTTTTGACTACGATTACACTGCCTACAGATCCTCCGATAATCCAGCATCGTCCATGTCCTTGATGAATTCCACCTTAGCCACGTCTTTCAGCTCCATATCCCCCTTCACCATCTTCTCTCCATGATTCCACAGTTCGTCTATGAAAGCAGGAACAAATGTCCCCGGACCTTTAACATCTTCCCTCTGCGACGCAGTCTCCGCCGCGATCTCGTAGTGCAACAGTCCTGCCACAGCAGCAAGCAGCTTATCTTCACGATATGCTGCCAGATAGGCAGATAACGTTGTACCCAGTGTGCATCCACTCCCTGTAATCCTCCCCAGATACTCGTGCCCATTGCTCACAGCATAAGTCCTTGTACCATCCGAAACAACATCAGTAACGCCGGTCATAAGAACAACGCACCGCTCCCTAGCCGCAAGGCTCGAAACAACGCTCGCTCTTTGCTTTACAGAGAAGAGTGAAGCACCAGAGTCAACACCACGCTGCTGACTGGAGTTATCAAGCTGATACCCGCTGGCACGCGCCACAGCGAGGATCTCACTCTCGTTTCCCTTGATCAAGTCGAAGTAACCAGTACCCATTAGCTTGGCTAGAGCGTCTCTTCGTATGCTCGTTGCCCCTGCACCTACAGGGTCAAGAACAATGGGTCCACCAGCGGCATTGTAAGCAGCGATTGCTGCTTGGTAGTTTGCTAGTCCTTCGGGGGTCACGGTACCCATATTTACGACTAATGCGCCGCCTAGTTTAGACAAATCCGCAGCTTCAGCGCTATAGTTGCTCATGATGGGGCTAGCACCTATGGACAGAGCGACGTTTGCGGCGAAGTTTTGGACAACAAGGTTGGTCATGTTGTGGGAGAGAGGGTTCATTTCTTTGACTTTCTTTGTCACGGAGATGGCGGTTTTGAGGACAGCGGTTATTTCATCGGCGGGCTTTTCGTGGTAGAAATTTGGAAGTGAGGATTGAGGAGCGAATGGTGGAGGCGTCTTGAGGAGGTGGACGAGGTGTGAGGATGCAGCTCTAGGGTCTTGAGCACCTATTATCGCGGATACTACCGCGACGCCATCGATCGTTTTAGGACAGGTGTTGGCAGTTGTTGGGGCTAAAAGTTGGTGTGTAACGCGTTGGGTGTTCGAGGCGTTGACACCGCCGATGCATACTGTCCTGACGTTCTTCTCAGCGTCGTTGCCCTGGTCGAGATATCGCAGTATCTTTCTGATCCCAGTAATCCCGATGATGTCTTTGGTGTTCTTCTTGGTGTTTGTGGCATACAGTGTGCCGATTCCTAGGTAGTCTGCTCCCAGCTCGACGGCTATACGTGCTTCATCGATAGACGAGACTGTTGCGCCGATGATTTTGTCTTTTCCCAGAAGGCGGCGTACTTCGCGAACATTCATGTCATCTTGACCCACATGAACACCTTCACAGCCTACTGCGAGGGCAACATCCACACGGTCGTTGATGAGAAGCGGGATATTGTGTGCTTTGCATTTTTCGTGGAGCTTTTTTGCTGTAGAGATGAGGATGCCAGTGTCTGAGGTTTTGTCTCTATATTGGACGATCGTTACACCTGAAGTTCTGAATCAACATGGTTGCGCGTTAATGAATGTGCAGGACGTGTAACGTGGAAATGCAACCGGGGCAGTATGTGACTAACCTCCAAGTAATGCCTGCTCAACTACATCAACCAGATCTCTTGAGCCCAGAATGGCTTCTGTAGAGTCTGTCACGAGATACAGGGAGTAGTCTACCTTTTGTTCAGCCATTATTGCAAGTGGACGCACGGCTGGTGTGGAATACTCGATCTTGTCCATCAATGCTGGAAATCTTTGAGAAAAGCCGCTATGGCTGATGACGCAATCTAGGTGCGGCCCGCCAAAGACTTTGATTCGGTTCGCGGGAGATTAGTAGCGAATGTAGACGTGTTAAGCGACAGCCTTACGTGTAGCTTACAGAACGCAGCTTGTTTGACGGTGATTGCTCGGCGGCGGCATTCAACATTTTGCCCCACGTTGTCAGATCTAACATGGCAAGTGGTGTTCGGTGAACTGCGGGGCAATTCAAGGTTGGTACAGGACACATAATGATCGTGTAAACATGTCGTTTGTCAGCCACACATGGGTACCGCCTTCCTTCCCAAGGTTGTCGCGCCGTGTTCATGGCAAGCACAATTACCACAGTAAAACCACCATATTCCAGAAGTCCGTGTATGATCACCTTCTGTCAAAGGTATCCAAGCGGGGGCACAGGACCAATGCTGTGCAACAGTGATGCATCCCTGCCCGCTGTGGTGAACCGACCATGCAGCAATTTCCTGCAACAACCGTTTGATGTTCCGTTGTTTGTGTGGACCAGAAAACTCTTTGTCCGTCGCCAATGCCCCAAAATGACAGTGCCAGCCACCTCAGAACTCGGCCGCCTAGTCTCACAGTCCAAGTGCTGAAAGCTCTGTGCAATCGCGTGAACAGCCAAAAGACAAATAAGTGACTGACTCAGGGCGGGGCTTCTGGAGGCGTTTGGTAGAACGGCCTTCACTAGCGTGGCTCGGCAAGTTCGAAAAACTAAGCGCAAGTCGGACCCCATATATCTTCCATCCACCACCCGCGGTTCGCACACACTCAACCTTCGCACAACGCAAAATCCATCAGTCGCCCTCGTCCACACCAGTGACTGCCACTGGCAACAGCACACACAACTCTGCCCCACACGCCAAACAGCCTGCTCGTCGCCAACCCGCGACCTGCCTAAACCGCCACTCTCGCCATCAGGCCACAAGCACAAACCGCACCTCAGAGTCGCCAACGACAACAGGAGTATATGTATTCGCGCCAAAGCTACTCCTTCCGAGTCGAACCTCCCCCCAAACTGCAAAAATTTCGCTGTATGCGGATACCAAGCAGTATCATCCACCAAACCAACGGCTAATCCACTGCCCCTCCTGACCTTGAGTCGCACACACACAACCCACACATACTAGAGACTGCTCCTGCGCATGTCTCTTTCGGCCCTCGTCAACATACCTGATCCGACCTCGTTCGCCCGCCCGCCGCATAATCACTAAATCAACCTCGTCAACCAGACCCCCCCGCACCACCGTCACCATGGCTACCGTCAACATTCGCCGCGATGTCACCGACCCCTTCTACCGCTACAAGATGGAGCGCATCCAGTCCAAGATCGAAGGCAAGGGCAACGGCATCAAGACCGTTATTGTCAACCTGAGCAGCGTGGCTCAGTCTCTCGCCCGCCCCCCTGCTCACGTCATCAAGTACTTTGGTTTCGAACTCGGAGCTCAGACCAACACGAGCCCCAACGATGACCGTTGGATCATCAACGGTGCCCATGATGCCAGCAAGCTCCAGGACTACCTTGATGGCTTCATCTCAAAGTTCGTCCTCTGCAAGAAGTGCAAGAACCCCGAGACCGATGTCCATATCAAGGACGGCAACATCACGCTTGACTGCAAGGCTTGCGGAAAGATCTCCGACGTTGACCCGCGCTTGAAGCTTAGCTCCTTCATCCTGAAGAATGAACCCAAGAAGGGCAAGAAGGACAAGTCCAGCAAAAAGGCCGAGCGTCGTGCTCGCAAAGAGGCTGAAGCCCGTGGTGAGGCTACCTCGCCCGATGGCGGCAGCCCCGGTGACAGCGCCGACGACAACGGCGACGATGGCGACTTGGCACTCGAGGCCGGCAGCGATGACGAGCTTACCCGCCAGATCAACGAGGGCGCCAAGGAGATCGAGGATGAAGACGCCAAGGAGGTTGAGTGGTCCATCGACACCTCTGAGGCGGCTATTAGGGCTCGTGCTCAGGATCTGCCCGACGACCTCAAGCGTGCTCTTGTCATTGAGGATGACGAGGAGGGCGGCTCGAGCTACGATGTCTTTGGCAAGTGGATCATCGACACTGGTGCCGAGAAGGGTGGTGTTGAGAACCTTGACAACGTCGACATCTACATCAAGGCCAAGGAGCTCGGCATCGAGGAGAAGCACCGTACTCTCACTGTCATTCCCCAGACCCTCTTCACTGAGAAGATTGTCAAGCAGATGGACGGTCGCGCCCCTATGCTCAAGAAGATGATCACTTCGGATAAGCACGAGAAGGCTTTCCTTGGTGGTATCGAGCGCTTTGTCGGCAACGACAAGCCTGAGCTGATTCCTCAGGTCTCTGCTATCCTGCTCAAGGTGTACGAGAACGATCTTGTCTCGGAGGATCAGCTCAAAGCCTGGTGCTCCAAGGCAAGCAAGAAGTATGTCGACCTCAAGGTCAGCAAATCTGTTCGCAAATCGGCCGAGCAGTTCAAGGACTGGCTGGAGAACGAGGATAGCGAGGATGAGGACTCTGAGTAGGATCCCGACTGTAGGGACACGTGGATGGTAAAAGTACGCGAAATGTCCGACTGTTGACTGTCTTTACCTTTTGTCTTGCTTGTCTTGTTTACTTTGTCACGGACGACGTGTAGGTAGCTCTACTCACGTCTGTAACACTTGTTTGGGCCAGTCCAGACGATGGTCTTGTATCCTTCTCTCCTCTCTAGTTAGCCCATAAAAAACCTTGCTTTTGCACCGCCTTGCTTCTGTTACTTGCATTGCTATGCCTGTGCCCCACTACCGTTCGCCGTTGTTAGTCCCCTTATACCGGGTGCTTGGGCCCACCACTATCGTGCATGCTGGGAAGTTTCTGCATGCATAAACGCGGTGAGAGCGTTGACAGTGTAGGAACATTCCCATACCTATACTTTGTGCTAGTGAATTCTGAACGCCCCCACGTTGCGACTAATGCTCGGCAAAACCATGCACTTTGACCACGCGGTCGTTTCTGCCGTCCACTTATCATCACTCATATCAGCCTCTCCTCCTCTTGACATGGACGATAACGCAGGAAAAAGCATTCTCGGGGCTCGCCTGGCCCTAGCCTTCGCGCATCGACATGTTCTCGCGCCGTCGATCTCCACAAGGACACATTAGTCTCCGAAGCTTAACCCCACCCAGGCAAGAACAAGCGGAGCTCCCATGCTCTGGACGGCAGGCCAAGCACACTTTTTTCACGACTGCGCATGGTGGCCGGAGCGCGAGACGCGACTGGCGAGATAGAACGAGTGCGGCCGTCTCTGTTTATAATGTGGCGGACCCCCACCTCGAAGGTGCTTTGCAACCTTTCGCGGCGCAACGATTGTACGGACTGTACACCACCGTGAGCGACTTCTGGAGTTTTGCGCTCACGTTGAATGCGAAAAGCTCCAACAAACCACCATCTAATTATACGGCTTTTTTTTTTGATAAGCTTCTGATAACTACATTAAGCCTTGCGGCTCAGGCGTCCCTTCCGCATCCTCCAGAATCAACACCAACGCGAAGACCATGAACCCAATTCAAGCTTACCCCGCAGAGGGCGTGGTCGTCCAAGATGCGCATCACGAACATTATGCACCCGAAGCAACCAACAACAAAACCGGTGCTGGCACATATGTGACATCTGAAAATGAGTTGCATAATGATGCGCCTGGGAACGAAGTCCTGGAGCGTGATGCACAGACTAAGGGACGTTGGTTCCAATACCTCAAGACGAAGCAATTCTGGATCACTTTGGTGCTGGGGCAGGGTATGTGATGAATCCAAATCTATCAAATAGACGACGTTTAAACTGACGAAACGTCATAGTCCTCGCTCTCTGCATCACCGGTACCAACACTTTGTCGTCTCTCCTCGCCGAAGAGGGTACATCAATCCCGGCATTCCAGTCCTTCTTCAACTACGTCCTGCTTAATATAATCTACACATCGTACACCCTTTACAAGTACGGTTTCAAAAAATGGGGTCGTCTTGTTATAAAAGATGGCTGGAGGTTCTTCATCCTTGCTTTTATGGATGTGGAGGGCAACTATTTTATTGTATTAGCATACCGCTACGTAAGTTCTTCAACCATGTCATTTTCAAGTTGCTCGGGGCTGTATTAACAAACAACTAGACAACCATCCTTAGCGCCCAACTGATCAACTTCTGGGCGATCGCCGTTGTCGTAATTATCTCCTTCTTCTTCCTCAAGGTTCGCTACCACTACACGCAAATCTTCGGCATCCTTCTGTGCATCGGCGGTTTAGGTGTAATCTTCGGTTCCGACCACATCACGGGTACCAACAACTTTGGCGCTACAGATCAAGTAAAGGGCGATTTGTTTGCACTGCTCGGCGCTACTTTTTATGGTCTGTCCAACGTTTTTGAAGAGTGGCTAGTCTCTGAGAGACCACTATATGAAGTCGTTGGTCAACTGGCCTTCTGGGGCATGTTCATCAACGGTACGCAAGCTGGTATCTTTGATCGCGCTGCTTTCCGCAGTGCAGTTTGGAATGCAAAGGTTGGTGGTTATCTCACAGGGTACACACTCATCCTTTCGCTGTTCTACTCACTTGCACCGGTTCTCTTCCGTCTCAGCTCCGCCGCTTTCTTCAACATTTCCCTGCTTACCGGAAGCTTCTGGGGTGTAGCGATTGGTGTCAAGGTGTTTGGACTGAACATTCACTGGATGTACCCTATCGCTTTTGTTCTCATCATCATCGGTCAGGTCATCTACTTCCTGAGACAGAGTCTGGTAGGTGAGGCGTTGAAGCCGTGGTTGGGCAAGGATCAGGAGAGGGGACATGCTGGAGTAGGAACCGCGAAGAAGAGGGTTGTTAGACCCGATGCTATTGTCTAAGGGCAATATTACCACCCCGGAGCTGAAGGGATGATGCCCGGCTTTGTTTAGATACATGACGAAGTATACGACTTATGGAACATGCAGTATTGCAAGCTTCTTCATGGATATTCTTGAGGCCGACTGCCTTCTTATGACAGCGCAGCCCATTTTTACAAGTCCAGCAATGTGCCTATTCTTCGCTCTGCAGCTTCGAAGAACCCGAGCTTAGCCTCGAGGGCAAGGGAGAGGTAGACACCTGCCTCAATCCAGAATACACGTGTCGCAAAATTCCCCCACGTAGCCCAACACATAGTGTATACGATAGTAATGCTAAAACCGACAGTGCCTGCGTTCAGGCTTGGTGTTGCAGACATCCAACCCTTCTCCAAAGCGATAGAGATGAGGTATACCGTTGCGAGTCCTTGAGGCACAAAAAGAACCATGGACATACACGTCCAATCATCGATAGCTAGACAAGGGGGTGAGGCATAGCCGATGGCGCCTGTAATGATCCAACAAGCTAGGTTGCCTACGAATGCAAGAAGTGCGATACCAGGAGTCGAAGGGTGTAGAGATTGGGACTCGTAGCGCCTTGAACGTACGGCACCGTCATGTGCTGTTCCAGTAATCGGAGAGTCGGCGATTTTGATTTGGCTCATGGTGGTGGTAGGAGAAGACGATGGCGTTTTACAGAGCTGGACTTTGTATTCATCTTTATAGTGATTCCTTGTGCAATATCGGATTCATATTGGCTGAGCGTTCATAGGTAAGACAAGCGCCATGTAGTGCCGCGCCACATGTGGGTTCGGAACGGATCTCTCGGAATACTGGCGAATCAATAACATCACTTTCCGATTCATCTGAGCCTTTAGCTTGGCTGGGTGGTCATATGTGTATGCTAGGGAAGGTTTTTTGTGGACGGGTATATGGTGTTTGCTATGGTAGAACAACTAGTGGAGCTCTTGGTATTCGTCATTAGCCTGCCTTGGCCGAGCGCCACTTATCACCAGCCACGTTTCGACCTTACTTCCCACCATTAACCAAGTTTTCTACCTTGATATCGAACAAAAGCTCATCACTCCCTATCCGAATTATCCGTTAGCCTGAAACCTTTTTTCCTCTATCGAACATGTCTTCGCGCGGTCTCCCTGACGTGCTGATGCAGAAAGTCGACGACTATGTCGATTCGCTGGCACCCCAGATCCAGCCCCGCATCGCCTCCGAACTTGAGATCTTCCAACAAAAGACTATCGACAGTCTCGAAACGCAAGTTGTAGACGCGTTCAGATCACTGTTCAACAAAGACAGGCCGTCTTCATCAGATGGCAGCCGCTCTGGTCCCTGGAATCTCAATGACGCAGCACCTGATTCTTATGGTGGCCAGTCACTGCCCTTTGCGGATGAGATTTCCAAACTGACCCGAAGCTTCGGACAGATCTCTGATGAAGCGAATGGAGATTTGCGCGACATTTTTGATCTTACTTCGGGAAATAGAGGCGGTGCAGAGCAGTCTCGATCTGTAGATGGGGGTTTTGCATCTGGAGCTAGAGGGGTCCTTTCTTCAGCGCTCAATGTTGTTCAAGATCATTTCGATGACGAGAGAGGATCAAAAGGTGGCCAGTCCTTTGAGATTGGGGGACTACTCGGGATGATCAGTAGCACGATCAAAGATGCATCACAAAATCCCGAAGAGAAGGCGAGGCTGATCAGTCCAGAGATCAAGCAAACAGTGGGCGACAAGCTACGCGAGCAGCATGCACCCCTCGCTGAACAATTTACCCGGATAGCTCTGGATCACATAAAGCGCTGGCTTCGTGGAAACACAAGCACACGCGATCTTGGTGACGGCGCCAAGGCTGAGATTGCTGAACAAGTAGGCGACCTAGTAAAGGGCCTCGGAAGCTTATTCGGAAGCAAAAAGAGCAGCCAGGAAGAATCTTCCAGAGGCTTTGATGGCTCTAGCCGGGATGGCGAGAGTGGCAGTGGAAGCGGCTTCTCTCGAGTCATCAGCGACAAGCTCAGCACCGGTCTCGCAAAGGTTCACCGAGAGGTCCGCCTGGAATTTCGCAAGATCCTCGGACAAATCGAGAAGCAACTGTTTGAACTGCTACCTGATCAATTCCAACGGCCACTAGAGAAGATACTTGGTGGCAATCCATTCGATTCACAGCTAGACCGCGACGCGTCAGGCAATGCTGACCGCGGCTTTGGCGATGACATCAAGTCCAAGTTGCTCAACAAGATTCGTGCTTTAGTTCAGAAGGTTCAGGAGACGTTGCGAGAGAGCATCTTGGGTGTAGTCAATGGTGGACACCGCAAATTTGAGCGCCAAAGCTGGGTCTTTGTGCAGGGTATGGTGGAACAGAAGGTCCAGAGATATCTACCTGACGTCAAGATCAATGTTCCGGACGATATCGGAAACGAAAATGTGAGTGTCGGATCACCGACTGCGAACACGCAGATGGGAGGAGGATACCAGCCTCCACCACAGCCACCCCAAGGCGACCATCGTCCTGGCCCTCCCCAAGGTGGCTATGGTGAACAAGGGCACGCGCCGCAAGGATACGACAACCCACCGCAGTACCAGAACTATAATCAATACCGAGAGCAGCCGAGACAAGAATACCAAGATCACCGGGCGCCACAATACCCACCACATCAAGACTATCCATCC